GTTTTGTAAATCAAAAATTTGTATTATTTCTTTGTTTTTAATAACAATTTATTTGTCTTTTTTTTTAAATAAAAAATTTTAAAAACTTAAAAATCTTAGGATTAATTTTCGTTTATGTTGTTCTGCTTGGCTAGTATTTTTGTTGCAAGTGGAGTTTCATTAATATTCCTTATTTATTTTGCCATGAAAAATAGTCAACAACTAATCGCATCTATTGCAGGGTTTGTTAAATGATGAATAAACTTAATGAATAAAAATGATAATGATATAATAGTTCAATTTCATGGTTGATAGCTTTAAGTATTATTTCTTTGGTGTGGTTAGTATTACCTTTTTCACACCAACATTATGTATTGATTATTTATTCATTTATTATTACAGAAGTTATTAGATTTACAACACTAATTGGTATTCATTATTTCACAAAAAAATTTGATGAAATTAAATTAGTTGGATTTGGACTTGGGGTTGGTGCTGCTGTATGTCAAGTATTAATTCATAATGTTCCTTATTTACTTTTATCAACAGGAGATGCAGACCTTTATCTTTTAAATCCAATAATTGGAAATTTCACTGTTGTTGCATTCAATGGTTTTTGTTACTCTGTGTATTTGATATGTTCATACACTAGTCTTTCTTTATTATTACACCGTAATAAGAAAGATATTATATATTCAATTATATTTGTATCTCTTCATGGAGCTATTCTAGTAGCTGGAATAATGAATTACTATGTTTCAGTTTATCTTGGAATAACATTGATGTTATTAATTGACATCATTACTGTAATTATGACATTCATTATTCTATACCATTATCGTCATTAATAACTTCGTTTTTTTATTTTTTCTTTTATTCTCTTTTCTCACAATTATTCCTTTATCAACTATCAAAGAATATTTCCAATTGAATATTTAAATAATTAACACCTTTATGAATATTTGATATATTACAAAGGCAAACCACTACCTCTTTAAATAATATTTTAGAAAAACATCTAATAGAATCATAATACTCTGTTTTATTTATTGTTTTTTATTAATATTTCTAAATACAATTTGGTTAATTTATAAAGTAATTTATTATCCTTTATTTTCAATTAAATAAAAACAATATTTATATTCAAAATAATTATCTATAAACCAAATCAAATATTTGTTTATTTTGAAATAAAATTATGTCTTCATCTATTCTAAAATAATATTAAATATATTTATTTATTATATATCTTAAAATAAAGAAATTTTATTAAATAAGAGTAATTCTATGTCCGATTCATTTTTATTCAATTAGCATTGTTCAAGAGCTTGTTTTAAATCAGCAATGATATCATCTGGATTTTCTAATCCAACGGAAATTCTTACAAGTTCTCTAGTTAAACCTTGTTGTTTAAGAAGATGTTCTGGAACAGCAGCATGCGTCATTGAAGCAGGATGTTCAATAAGGGTATCTAAAGTTCCAAGAGAAACAGCTAATCCACATAATTTAACATGTTCCATAAGTTTTTTAGCAGCTTCAAATGATTTCATTTCAAATGAGAAAGTAGAACCAAATCCTTTCATTTGTTCCATAGCAATTTTATGACCTGGGAATGATTCAAGTCCTGGATGATTAACTTGTTTAATTTTTGGATGTTGTTCTAAGAATTTGGCAACTTTAAGTCCATTCTCCATATGAACTTTCATTCTCATTGGAAGTGTTTTAACTCCACGAATACATAAGAATGCATCCATTGGTGCCATTAATGATCCTGTATCTTTTCTAAATGCTTTAATCTTTTGAAGAAGTTCTGGGTTTTTAGTTGTAACAACACCACCAACTACATCACCATGTCCATTAATGTACTTAGTAATTGAATGAAGAACAACATCTGCTCCAAGTTCTAAAGCTGGAAGGAATACTGGTGTAGTAAAAGTACAATCAACAACTAAAATAGCACCTTTTTCATGACAAATCTTAGCAATTCCTTTAATATCTGAAACTTTACATGTTGGATTTGCTGGTGATTCTAAATAAACCATCTTGGTATTTGGTTTCCATGCTTTTACAACAGCTTCATCAGATGCAGTATTAACAAATGAAACATCAACACCCATATCTTTAAATCTATTTCCAAATAATTCAACAGTACATCCATAAAGAGTATCACCAGAAATAAGATGATCACCAGCTTTAAGAAGTCCCATTGTTGCAGAATGAATAGCACCCATTCCTGAACCAAAAGCAGCAGTTCCAACTCCTCCTTCTAATGAATTAACAAGTTCTTCAAAATATTCAACAGTTGGATTTCCCATACGAGAATACATATGTCCTTCTCTTTTTCCTCCAAATAAATCGGCTCCCATTTGAGTATCATCAAAAAGGTATGTTGATGTTTGGAAAATTGGGAAAGTATGTGCATGTAATGGTTCTCCCCACTTAGATGGAGTATGTAAAACTCTTGTTTGTAAATCCTTCAATTGAGACATAGCAATGGTATTTGTTATTAATTAGTTTGTGTAATTATTTAAATATTTTTAGGGTTATCACATTTATTCTCTATTATTCTTTTCATCTTTCTTTATTTACTGTCTTTTTCTTCCTTTTTTTCGGGAAGTTGTTTTTTTCGTATAAAAGTGTTTTTTGACAGTCCATAATAACACTATTTCCTTCTTTTTTTTTATCTTTTTTTCAAAACTGTTGAATAGAAGCATTCTACTTCTCAAATTCCCTTTTATTATTCATTCTCTTAGTATCTTTTTCTATTTTATTTAGTTTGTCTTAAACAAAAAAGAGTGTTAATTCTTCTTCTTATTACAATTTTATTATTTACTTTTATTAACTATCACTTTAATTCTTTTGTTTTAGCTTTACTAAAAACATTAAATTATTTCTCTTTAACTTCTTTTGTGTTGAGTGACTCTTTTGTCTTGTTTTTTACTTGGGTGTTTTTATAAAAGATGATTTTAGAACCAAATATTTCTAATCGACTTTTCACAAATTTTATAATAGTTTGAATATTAGTAATAATATGACTAAGTAATGAACTAAGTACTTTTTCTAATTGTTTTCGAGCAAGTTCTTTTTCTTTTATTCTCTTGTGAATAGCTTCTTTTAATGACGTTTGGAAATTATTAATTGAACAAACAAACAGGTTAACTAAAATTTGAATAATTGACTTATTCTGATTTTTTCTTGAATGGTTGTTACACTTAACTTTATTTTCTTTTTGTTTTGACTTAATAATTAATTCTTTAACTTTTGTTTCATTTTTTAAAACTTGTATGAGTTTGTCTTTCACTTGCATTAATGCAACTTCAATTGGCTTTTCTATTTCTTCTATTTCATTAATAATATTCAATATATTATCAGGAATCTCTAATACTATTCTTTCTTTATGTTGTTCAACTTTTCTTTTCTCAAGTTCAATTAATTGATTTAATGCATCTTTTTTTTTATCAAATGGTTGCTTTTTTAATTGATAATTATTAACACATTGATATTTTTCAAAAATATTTTTCACTCTCTTATTGATAAAGTCTACTGACTCACTTTCTTTTTCAAACATACTTATCAGAACTTTGACTTTTTCAGCAAGTTTTTCAATAATCATTTTTTTCTGGTTTTCTTCCATTGTATAGTTTGAATCTTCTTTTAAAACAAAAATACCCTCTTGCATTATAAGAAAGGTATTTTCTAACTCTTCATCTTCAGGAAATAATGTGTTTATCATTTTTATGAAGTTTCCAAATATCTGTTCAGTCCTTTGTAAGTCTTTACTGTTTAATTGAGCTTTTTCTAATTGGTTTTCTTTTTTTAATGGAATGCTTGACACCAACCATAATGTAAACACAAAAAGGATCAGTTCCATTCTTTTTTTTTAAATTTTGTAATGTTTAAACATAAATGTCTTTTCGATTAAAATAGACTAAGAAAATTTCTTTTCATTACGTTCAAATACTTATCAAAAAGAGATGAATTGTTTGAAAGGTTTTTGTTTTATTTAAAATTATTTTAATTATAAAAATAAACTGAGATATGTTAATTATTAAAAAAAAGTACAGAAATTCATTACAATTAATTTTCATTTGAACTTTTTTTAAATTCATTCATCATTTCTTTTGTGGTTTGTAATTGAGAAGAAGATAAATAATCAAAAATGTCATAAAATGATCTCATCTCTTCTTCTGTCATTAAAACCGCTTCGTTTCCATTTGTTTTTTGAGATTGAAGTAAAATCTTATTTTCTTCTACAAAATAAGGACTGCCTCCAATAAAGAACGTATGGATATCATCTTCATCTGTTGGTATGACAATTTTGTTCCATTGGTTTGCACATGAAACTTTTTCTGAATCAAATTCTTTATTAAATTCATTTTCTTTATTACTTTTATCATATCCTGAATAAAATTTATTTGATATCATATTTAGTTGTGAGACAATATCAAAAACATTTGTCATTAATTCATCTGGAGTTATTTCAGGTGTGATTTTAGACTTTTCAGTAATTGTCTCAAATCCCATTCTCATTAATTTGAGATCAATGTCATTTTCATTCAAACTTTCCCAACCTTCAATGTATGTCTGTTTTTCCATTAACTGAATTTACTAGTTTCTTTTTATTTTACAGATTTATCAATTTGTTGACACCATTGATTTTCTCATAAATAATAAGAGTCCAACAACACATATTCAAATAAACATAGATTTGTAATATCTTTATAATGAATAGTAATGTTTTATGCGTTGTTTGGTTTAAAAATTTGAACCAGTCAAAGAAAGATTATGATTTGATTAAAGAAAGTCAGAAAAATTAAAAACAAAAAGAAGAAAAAATGTGAAAAAAACTTTGTTTCAATCTTGAAAAAGAATAACATGTCACGAAAATCAGCAACTATTCCACCAGTGACGCCATTGGTTTGTAACGAATTACTTTTTTATTTAAACAAAAGATGAGCATAAAAAAAAGAAGTTAATTAAGTTAGGTAACTGCACTTGAAATTGTTGAAGATTTTAATAAAATGAAAAAAGATGGATTATTTCCAGAACAATTTTCTATAGATGTTCTTTCAAATAGTGTATTACCAATTTGTTTGTTTAATGTTCATTTATAAAATAAGATAAAGAAAGTAAAAGTACCATTGATTAAATGATGACATTGGATATAACTTTCTTTTCTTTTTACTAACAGTATATACATGAAATAGAAACATAAAAAATAATAACAAATAGTAAATAATGTTTATCAACGAATCATAGCACTTACACCATTATGTTATACAACTGATGAAATTCTATCACCAAATCATCGTGGGAGATGGATAATTCTTACTGAAAAAGCAATAAAATATTTAAGTCAAAGTATTTTAGCTTTTTGTAAAGAATTTTATTCAAATGGAACAAAAAGTGGATTAAATATTGCATTATATAGACTTAATTATGTAATGTATTTATTTTCAATTGAAGAACCATTTGCTAAGATTACCTTAAACCAAATAAAAATTCCAGAAAATGATCCGGAAAATCAATTTAACTTTAAGAAATATGACAAAACGATAGAATGTCTTTCTAAAGCTGTTGCTCATTGTTTAACAAAAGATAAAAAGAAAATATTTAAAGCAACAGAATTTTTCAAGAAGATAGAAACAGATGTTTTTACTAGAATTCCTAAAAAGAAAACAGATAAAAAACCATTATCAGTAACAAATTCATATATTAAAGAATTATTTAATTTTAGAGGGTTATTAAAAGCACAATTAGATATGGCATATAGAGATAATTCTAATGAAGAGCAAGGAGTGAATTATCAAAATGTTCTTATTGAAGGTTATGCTATTACTTTTCCATTTAAAAATAAGAAAATGATTGCAGCAGATGTAATGAGTGAATTTTTATTTGCTCTTTTTGATTGTCAAACTGATGAAAGATATAAATCATATCCAAAAGATCCATGTGAGATAGAACAAACAATAATGAATTTAATATTCTTCTGGTATGTTAATTATAATGAAGATTTTCATACACCATATTGTGATACAATATTAAAATTTATGAATACATATTGTTCATTAGTTTTTGACTCTGAATGTATTAATGTTGCAGTAGCAGATAGAAAAATTGAAATGCAAAAGAAAGGAGTTCAAATTAAAGTTCAAAGTAAGAAAATTAGATTATGCTATATTAATGAGAATATTGTTGCTGATATTATGACTGAATTAGATGCTCACTTATATTTTCTTATTCCAATTTCTATTTATCTTGGTAATTTAACTTCAGACATTTCATCAGAAACAAAAGGTATTGATTCAAAATATGTCCGATTTACTCATGACATTGCATCTCGTGCAGATAAATATTCTGCATTTGTAAAAAGAATGATTGGAATTGATATTAATGATTCTTATCAATTCTTTATTTCATTATGTACTTCTCTAGTTTATAGATGTCATAATTATTTTGCATCTTATATCATCTTTTCTACATTACAAAAAGTATTAGATGAAATAAACACAAGAAAAGAACGTGGATTTAATCTCAATTCACTTGAAAAGAATGTCATTGAACAATACAATGATCTTAAATCTATTTTCCCAAATACTTCTAATCCAGGAAATTTAGAAAATTATCAAATAACAACCAAATTAGCACAACCATTTATTTGTCATCCTGATATATTAAAATCAGTTGGAAATAAATTAATGAGTAATGCAACAAAATTATCATTAAAAAATGAAGTGTCTCCAGAAATTGCTAATGAACTTAATACGTTTGTAAAAAATTATGAAGAAAGTGAAATTTATTATTTACAAAAACCAAAAGTAAGAGCTGAAAGTTTAAGACCTGTGTTAGGATTTGATTTATTAGAATATTTAAGTAAATTACCAATAGATGAATCAGAAGAAAAAACATTAGCACACTTCGATAGACCAACTAAAATTGTTATTAAACGAACAACTAAAGAAGATCGTATTAAACGACGTAAAGCCTTAGCAAAGAAAAGAATGAGTAGAAGAAAAGAAAAAGCTCAACAATCTAATTAAGAATGTAACTGGACTTTTTTATGTGAAAATTATCTTAAATGCTTTCTTGAAGAATTTAAATGAATTAATTCAATTTTTATTACATGCAATGAAATTCATTATTAATATAAAGAGATTCTAAATGATTAAATAACATTATGTTTATTGACTACCAACTAAAAGTTATTCTACCATATATAATTATTCTATATCATTAATATATCATGATTAATAATAACATTTTTTTAAACCCACTTCTAGAAATTATTCACTATTCACTCAGACAAAACTATAAAGAGAAAACATAATAACAAGAAATGAAGATAGAATAAACAAAATTACTAAATAAAATATTGTCTTTATCTTGAATAATTCAGATGAATATCTATCAACTGTAGTACTATTACTATTACGTCATAATGATTCTTAAAAATATATGAGTTATTCACATAACTGGAAGAGTATGGTAGTAAAAGAAATGACGTAATATAGAAATAAAGTGTCTTCAACTTAAAGAGATTGTTGTTTATCATTGTTGTTAATTGACTAACATCCTTTCTTCAGGTTCATAAAACAAATGTAAAAATAAAATATCATTAATCACACTATGATTTAAATCAACTTTTAATGTTAATACACTCTAGTTGGACGTCATTTATTTAATACAATGAAAAGCATACAAATTGTTTAAAAAAAAGGAAATTATAAACCTCATAAAATTGTTTAAAAATACTAAAAATACAGTTAGAAGAAGTGCACAATGAACAAAGAAACGAATTTCTTTTAATCTAATCATCTCCTAGTGAAAACTACAACATTTAATAAAAGAAATATTGTTTAGTTAATAACCTCATAACTAACAAACAGTAGTGTAAAACATTTGAATTATAAATGGTAATTTTATTTATTCTATGGTGTTACTAAGAATATTTAATGAAGAAAAGTATACAAATACTTTAATACGTACAAAGGACAATTGAACTAGATTTATCATATTTATTACAACAAACACAATCAATACTTACTATAAGTTATAATCAATTAGGTTTTAAATGGTTTTTATTAAATATTTCATTATATACACAATTTGTATTTGATGTTATTTGTATTTTATTAACACCTTTATCTCACATTAAACAAGACATTCTTTGTCTATCAAATAACTCATAATTTGGTGAAACAATCTTATGTAAAATAGTATAACAAAAACACTGTGTATGATAATGGTATTCACTCATAATGTTATAGAAAACAAAATACAGATTCATTTATTTATCAACAATATTCTTTGTTATTAAGTTGATAATATACCAAATTAGTTCAATCAATGTTTCTTATTTTACATAGAAACAATTAATTATTATTTTATAAAAGTTGAGTGTCTTGTGTTTTATATGACTTGTTTCTTTATGATATGTTCTTTAGACTCTAAAAACTTATTATTACTTATAGAAACAAAAGTACTTTTTTCATTTTTAAGAATGGTTCAAGGAAGAAATAAGAGACGTTTATTCTTTACAATTAGAAAGTAATATTTCTAACAGAAGAGTATTAGAAGTTATGGATAAAATAGACAAATGACAACACTATCTCATTAACAATTTTGTAGACTAAGCATTTTAAATCTTCATTGATTGGATTTATACAAAAAATCACTTGATGATTAAAAAGACTTCTATAAATTAATATTTTAAGAATTTTAATGGATATAACAAGAATAATTGTAATATTTTGAATTTATTTGAATGAAAATAATAAAATAAATGATAAATGAACTATACGTCAGGATTAAGAGAATAAAACCCTAAAAATTTCTTCTTTCTTTTTCTTTTAAAGAAATAAAAAATGAAATTAGAAAAAGAACTAGAATAAACGAATCAAAAAAGTACTTTGAAATGAGTGCAACTGAAGAACCAACTGTTGTTGAAAGAAACCCAAGCAGCAATTTTGATAAACCAAAAAAAGATAAGAAAAAGTCTCATAAAAAAAGTAAGAAAGTGAATCAAAAGAAAACAAAACTCATAGTTGGTGCTTCAGATTATGTTCCTGAAGAACAAAGTCATAAAGAACAAGACCAAAAATCAAAACAAACTTCAACTCGAACTAGTCAAAGAAAACCAAAAGCCCAACAAGGTCAAATGAGTCCACTTCAACTTCTTGAACTTAATGTTTCATACCAAATTGCTTGTTTATTTGAAGAAAATTCTCTTTCATCAGGATCATTCATTAGAAAGTTTATGGATGATAAAGGATTCATTTCAACAGAAATTCTTGCTAAATTATTAGCGTTTGTTTTTATAATTATCATCTCAAATGTCCTTTCAAAACAAAATGTATCTTACATCAATTTTCACGAAGCGTTGTTGTCAGATAAAATCAAAACAAGTATTTATTTTTAGATGTTCACCAGAAAATATTCAAAATGCTGTTGAATTTACTCAAAAAGCTAATTCAAAAATTATTTTTAATGCATCAACTAAATCTGTTGGGTTGAATGAAAAATGTGCTAATTATTCTCTTCCTCTTTCAGAACGTGTTAACAAAATTGAGGATAAAGAAGTTTTGAAATACCAAAGAAAAGCTCAAGAATGGATTATGAAAGGATCAAATTCATTAGTCCTTCCACATCCAAACTAAATGATTTCTTAAAGAGCGAACAAGATTTTTGTTATTGTTATTCTTTCAAAATAGTTTTTCAATAAAAAGGAAAGAAAAAGGAAAAAAGTTGGGAAAAGAACGAAATAATAGGGAAATAGGGTTAATAAAGAAACAAAAAATATTAAATTGTATCATGTCAATCGAAAAGACACAACAAGTTCATCAATTACTTAATCAGATTCATCAAAATCCAACAACCATTTTTCCTAGTGTATCTACACCAATCCAACAAAAAATAAGAGATGCATTAAAATTCATATTACAATGTTTGTTTCAATAATTTAAAATTTAATTCTCATTTATTAAAAGAGGAAAAGGTAATGTGTAGATTATGGTATTAATGGGATTATTATTGATAATTTCACAGATGAACAAATTTATTATCAAATCAATGAATTTAATAAACAAAATTTAGCAAAGATTAAAGGAATTCAAAAGAAAATAGAGAAAAAAATTGATGCCATTAAACCAGTTGAAATAGAAGAAGATAATGAAAAAGAAAAAAATGGAGATAGTGAAAAAGAAGATTTAAGTTATATGGATGAAGAGATTGATATGGATAAAATGAATCAAGCCATAGATGAAATGGATAACTTTGAACTTGGAGATGGAGATTTGGATGAGATTGTTGATAAAGAAGAGGATAACAGTGGTGAAGATGAAATGAGTGAAGAAAACAATGATAGCATTGAAGATCATCAACCAATCGAAGGATTTGAACAAGACGATGATAATGACGAAGTTCAAAAAGAACCAAAGAATGAATTTGAAAAACAACAAGAAATCATTAAAAATAAAATTACTAAGTTAGAAGAAGAAAATATGAAAGAAAAACATTGGAGTATGTTAGGTGAAATTAAAGGGGAAGAACGACCAGTCGATAGTTTAGTTGATCTTGACATTGATTTCCAAAATACTAATAGACCACCACCTCCAATGACTAAAGAACAAACATTAAGTTTAGAAGATCTCATTCGAAGAAGAATAAAAGAACAAAGTTGGGATGATGTTGTAAGAAAAACATTAGTCCAAAAGAAAGAGAAAAAAGAGATTGAACTTGATGGAGAGAAGAGTAAACTTGGATTAGGTGAAATTTATGAACAAAAGTATGCTAAAGAAATATATGGGTTTAATTCAAAGGATGAAGAATTAAATCAACAGAAAAAAGAGATTATGAAAACATTTGAATATGTAATGAAAGAATTAGATAAATTAACATCTGCTTATAGATGAGTTAATAATTGAATGATTGATTGACTAATTATTCAATGTAATTGTTACTTAATTTTAAATGTATTTTATTTGTTAAAAAGAACAAACAAAAATAGAATTGTCAAAAACAATAAAATAATAAAATTTATTAGTTAATTAGTTTTCTTTAGTTCTAATATTAAAATTTAGAAGAACTAAATAAACTCACCGTCAAAGAAACTCAAAAAGTAAAATCAAATGACTAAAGTGACACAAGTATATGCACCATTACCATCTGTTACAAGAGGAAAACCAGTCCATATAGGGTATAATGACCATAATAAGATGGGGACACATATTGTTTATCCAACAGGGAATTGTATAGTTATTAAGAACGTTAACAATCCATTAGACACGGATATTTATTATGAACATACAAGTGAAACTACATGTGCGAAATATAGTCCAAGTGGATATTATATTTGTTCAGGGGATGTTCAAGGAAATGTTAGAATATGGGATACGACACAAAAAGAACATCCATTAAAGTTTAGTTTTAAAGCACTTTCTGGACCAATTTATGATATTGCATGGACTGGAGATAGTCAAAGGATATGTGTAGTTGGAGAAGGAAAAGAGAAATTAGGAAGTGTATTTATGTGGGATGCTGGATCATCAGTTGGAGAGATTTCAGGACAAACAAAAACATTATTGTCATGTGATTTTAGAGGAACACGACCATTTAGATTAATTACAACGGGAGAAGATAATTATCCATGTTGGTTTGAAGGACCACCATTTAAATTTAAGAAGAGTATGAAAGATATTCATAGCCGATTTATTAATTGTGGAAGATTTTCACCAGATGGAAGTTTGTGTGTTTGTGTATCAAGTGATAAAAGTATATCTGTATTTGATGGGAAAACAGGAGAAATGAAATATAAAAAAACGGAACATAAAGCAGGAGTTTATTCAGTTACATGGGGAAGTGATAGTAAAACATTTATTACAGCATCAGCAGATAAAACATGTAAAGTTTGGAATGCAGAAGATGGGAGTGTAATCAAAACAATTGAATTTTCAAATACAATTGAAGAACAACAACTTGGAGTAGTTAATACCAAGAATGGAGTAATTTGTGTATCATTAAATGGAAGTATGCATAATATTGAAGAGAGTAGTGGAGATATTAAAGAAGTAATTGAAGGACATAATAAACCAATTACTGCACTTGCAAATGATGGAGAATATTTATATTCAGGATCAAATGAAGGGACATGTTGTTCGATGGGAAAAAGCTACAGGAAAAGCTGTTGGAATTAGTGGGAAAGGACATTGTACAAGAATTAATGATATTGTTAATTGTGGAGATAAAATTGCTACACTTGGGTCAGATGATTGTGTTAAGATTATTGATAAAAGTCGAATGGAATATGAAGATAGTATTAGTACGGAATCTCCAGCAAATTGTGGGGTATATTATAATAATACATTATATGTTGCAACTAATAAAGGAATTAAAGTTATTCAAGGGAAAGAGATTATTCAAAGCATTAATCAGAGGAATGGAGTTGCAACACTTGCAATCAATGGAGATAAGACTATACTTAGTGCAGGAATAAAAAGTGAAGGATGTATTAAATTTTATTCAATTAATAGTGATGGACAATTAACTGAAAAAGGAGAAATTAAAGAAGACATTCAAGGAACAGTTTACAGTATGGACTATTCAAGTGATGGTAAATACTTTGTTCATTCAGATGATACAAGAAAGATTGTTCTTCGAGATGCTAAGACGAATGAAGTTATTTATTCAAGATGGGTTCCACATAACTCAAAAGTCTTAAAGCTTAGATTTAACAAGGATAGTACAATGATTGGTACAGCGGGAGCTGACTCATATTCATATGTATTGAATGTTGAAACGAAAGCAATCACAACACTTGGAAGAGTTCATCCACTTGGAGTTAATGATGTGTTCATTGATGAAGACGGAAAGATCTTTACTTGTGGAGCTGATAGTACAATCAAAGTCTCTTCTCTCTAATTCTTTTCGTTTTTCTTCGTTTTTGTTTTTTATTTTAGATTAGATTTTTATTGTAAGGATTGAATTTCTTGGGGAAAATAAATGTCATAACTTCCAATTTGAAGACTTTATTGGTTATGGAGATTGTTTTTGAAAGGAAGAATAACTTTCTTGTTACGAGAAACAAACTAAAAGAAAATCAATAATATGAGATAAGAATGTAGAAAAGAACTTTGGAATTTTGTTTGGGGGTTGAATAAGGTGGTTGTTATTGATTAGATTATTATAATAAAACAAATTAGAGTTGGTTGCTAGTTAATAGAAGGGTAAATGATAGAAAGATAACTTTGAAGAATCCAGAATGATTACAGATAGTTCTCAAGAGTATTGGTTTTGATGAACAGAAGATTAGGTTAAAAGAATTAAGATAATATTTAATGAAGAACTTGATGAAAAAGAAATATTAAGAATGTCTGTAATTGATACAATTAGATATTTGAAAAAGAATAAAGAACAAAAATATGTTGAAAGGGTAAGTAGAAATGAAAGTTTTATTTCAAAAGAAGAAGACATTCAAAAAGTCCTTGAAATGTATCAAAATCCTTTGAATAATAAGAATGTTATTTTAGCGATTTATAGTAGAATTAAAGAATCATCACTTCATTTTATTGGATATTCTAAGTTAATCATATTGGTCTATCGAATTATTACTGTAGATCAAAACAATATTTTACTTGAAAGTCTTAGAGGGAATTTAAATGTTTTTGAGAACAATATTCCTATAGATTCTGAAGAAGAACAATTTAGAGAAACTTGTTTTTTTAGACTAAGTGTTACATTGAGTAAAATGATTGATTGGGTTTCATACTTCTATTCAAATTTTAATATTCTTTTTGATAAGGATATTGAAATAATGGAATTTTTGTATCAAAAGAGAAGGAAAACAACTCTTTTAATATGTGAAAAAATGATTGAAATGTTTCTTGATTTTAATATTGTTGATTGGAATTGTACAGGGAATTATATAACTACATTAAATTATCAAATGGCTGATATTTTACTCAGTATTTATGCCAAAGTATTTTGTGGATTATTTAAATATATTTCAGCAATCATTCAACATATTTTATTATTTGTTCCAGAAGACACTGATAGAGTAATAAGAATTTTAGAATTATTCAATAAAGTTTTTGAATCATTTTTGTGTTGTATAAGATCAAAAGAGGTACAATCTCGTTTTATTGACTTACCTAAAATTGAGTTAATTCCATTAGAAGAAATAATCCAAATCATTCATGCAACCTTAAAACATAATTCTGTAGATAAAGAAAGCAGAACTTTCAGTGAAATTGCACTGAAACTTATGAAATACAAAGTTCTTTCTAATAAAGTTAATTCAGAACTTGTTCGTTTTACTCATAGAATTGTAAGTACATTGGTTTCATCTAGAATTGAATCACACTCTAGTTCTACATCATCTTTAAAGTCCAACACTCCCAAAGAAATGAAAATATCATTTATATATTCATCTAAACAATGTAGTAGAACTAATACTCCAATGAGTGTTTTACAAAACCATGAAATCTTTAAAACACCAAGAAGAATACCATCTCCAATGGAACGATATGATATTTTTATTCCATCCGATTATATTATTCCTAAACCTATCAAAAAAGTTTCAACAAATCTTTTTGAAGAAGAAGAAGATTTAGAGTTTGTGTTATGATAAAAGATACAAATATTATTTATTAGTTGGTAAGAGATTAGTTGTTCATTTGTTTGATAAAAGAAAAAAAAAAGAGAATTGTCTATAATCAAATTAGAATAGAATCTTCATTTGTTTGTTGATAGCTTCTGTCAAACATTTCTTGTTAATTTCACCAATCAATCTGCCATTACTAGTCACAAAGGCAGAATCAATTTCTGCAGCAATAAACAACATGTGAATTTGACTTAAAGGAGTATGTCTTAATAAGTGAAGTGGACATTCACTATAATCTAACAAGAATTTATTAGCAACATGTTCAGGGATTTGAGCATCAAGTAATTTTCTTAATACACTTAATTTAACTTGACCAAGAAGGACACTATGTTCTGTTATATTAATATAAGAATTGAATAAATTTGGAATTAGAAAGAAAAAAAAATAAACAAACCAAGGTCATTAACTACAGGAAGAATTTTGTCAGGAAGAGTTTGAAATTGATCAACAATCTCTTTCAAATCAACAAGATTAGTATATTCTGAAATAAGTACTAAATTAGTATCCATGACCATTTCAGCTGTTTGATTTGAGGAATATTGAATATCAGGAATATAAGGTAATTTTTTATCAATTGCAATTTTATCATACACACAAACTGTAAAAAACCTGGAAAAACAAATAGTGATGACAGTGGCAATAAGCATTGGTACTAAAATACTAATGTCATCTATTAATTCTATCATAATCACAGCTGCACTAAATGTTTGTGTAATTGATCCAACAAAACATGCTCCTCCAATAATAGCCATTCCAGATGGTCCTAAATTATTTGATATTCCCCAGACTGAAAAACATTCTCCAATAAATCTACCAAGTACAGAACCTACAACTATATTAGTAGAAAATAACCCAACTGGTACTGGCATAGAAATAGACATTGCTGTAATTGTAAAACGAGCAATAAATAATAAAAATAAAGCAAAGAGATAATGTTTTCCAAATAATGGTTTTACTGAACTATTAGTATACATTTGTGATAATGTTGTATATGTTGGATATCCAAATGGACTAAGTTCTCCATACCAAGGAGCAGTAACTACACCAGTAAATAATGCAACAATAACTAAATAAAGATAAGGGATTCTTCCTAATTTATATTTTCTTAAGTATTGACGTGTTTTAAATATTGTTGATACTGACATTACAAAAAGAACAGCAAATAAGCCACAAATAACACCAAGTAATATTGAAATTAATGAGTCTTTTATTTGAAGTGAAGGAAAAGAATAGTCAATTGATAATAATCCACTATATAATGAAGGTGAATGTGAATAAGTATTGAAAATAGCTCTAAATGTAAATGCAGCTATTACTGAACTAAATGTTCCAAACCAATAATTTCTTACTGAAAAATATGTTGCTGTTACTTCAACTGAAAATAAAAGACCACCAATAGCAGTTCCAAAATTTGATGAAACACCACAACTTGTTGCTGTAGAAAGCATTTGCATAAATAACTCATTTGAATTTCTAAGAAATCTAAAGATTGGAAGACGAGTTAATTGACTAGCAATACATGATGAAATATGAATGAATGGTCCTTCTTTTCCTGCCCACATACCTCCTCCAAGAACAAAAACTAATCCAATTACTTTAGCAATTAAAGTTTTAAATGTTAAAAGATTTGGAATACGATTGCCTAATAATGTTACTTTCATTTCTGGTACACCTGATCCATTAGCTGTTGGTGAAATAAATTTTGTCCAAAGAAATGCCATTGTAACTAAAACTATTGTATAAATGACCCAAATAATGACTTTATAAAATGAGTTTTCAACTAATGAACATAACCATAGTCTTAAATCTTGTAATTTTTCTACAGTAATATCCATTGACACTCCAATAACAGCAGACACTACCCCAAGAAGGAATAAATAAAAAGCAACAACATGTATCAATGTTCCTTTATATCCAAACACTTGAAATAAACAAATTCTTTTAATTAATTTCAAATATTTGTTTTCATGATGAACTAAGAAACTGTTTTGAGTTGGATCAGTTTGTATTTTCACTAAAACATTATCAATGTCATTGTTTCCATCTTCTAAATCATCAATTTCAAATAATTCAAATGTATTGTCTTGTGTAAATGGTGAGCTAGACAATGGATGTGTTGTTTCCATAAGGGTTTGACTGAATGATATTGTGTTTGTAATGAGAAAAAAACTCTTTCTTTCTTTTTTTTTCGTTTCACTTTCAAATATCAATTCCTTAATTATTCTTTGTTTTTTTGTGTTATTCTAAAATATCCTTTTCATTTCTGTTTACAAATACTGGTAAAATGTCAAACATTAGAGTGTCATTTGTTCAATTTAAAGATGGATTGTTGATTTTTTGGTTTCGGGATAATATCTAATTGAAATGTATGTTATTATTTTTATTGTCCTTTGTGTTTATATTAACAATGTTTTAAACTATCTTTTCATAAAGAGGTTTATAAGACGAATTAGTTTATTCAAACAACAACTTCTTCTAAACAACATTTTTTAAAGAATTATCATAAAAAATATGGTTATTTATAACATGGAGATAACATGGAGTATATAATATATTCTAGAGATTGGCATATAATTGACATTCATGAAAGATGATTTAAACATGGAATAAATGACATTTATAGAGAAATTAAAACACAAAATGGAGTTAATAAACCGCTCTTTCATTTTAATAAAGATGTTGTTTCACTTAATCAAATACTTCATTGTGGATTATATTTTATAAAGTAATGCTAAGTTAAAAAATAAATAAGCAGAGAGCAGTATAAGTGGATTAAAAGAATGACCAAATAATTATCATAAAATTTTTGTAACAATTGTATTTTAGATAATAAATTTGTAAATCAAAATAAGAGTTTTAATAACTTAAACACACCAAACACAATATATAGTAAGTGTTTCTTTTTAATGAAAAGTGATGGAAAATATTGTGGTTCTATCATCAATTAAACATAACCATTATTTAACAAATAAATTGCAAATACAATACCATAAATGGTTTTCTAAACATATATCAATCAACAATGAAATTAATTATATAAACAAAGTGTATTACCAATACTACAATCATACGTCTAACAATGAAATGTTACCAAAGATAAAATATTTAATAAAAATTATTTAATTAAATGGTAATAGAATTTTCATCTGTTCTTCCTTGATCAGTGGAGATTAATCATATCCCTTCGCTTGTGTTTAAAAAAGAGTAATCTCTTTGTTTAATCTATCATTTATGTTTTTATAGGAAGATGAGAAAATCAATACTTTGTTTTATTTCTTCTTATTAATGTCTTCTCAAATTTCTTTACTTATTCTTTCTTTTTAATCTTATTCTTTGTTTTCTGTTTTAATTTTAAACAACACCATTTCCTCCTTTTTATTTTATGAAAGAGAGAATGAAACATTTGACTACCACTATATTACTTTGACTAATCACTTTAGCAAATCCTTATATTACACTATGTCATATTCTATCATAATATCTTGTTCCACCCTTTGCAGCATTTCCTAATACATTTCTTATTCAAATGAACCGTCATAACCAGATAATAACTGAGAGAGTCAAATATTAAATTGTATTAAAGTTTGTGAGGTGTTGCTTCAGATGTGCCACCTTCAATATCAAGAATAACAAATAAAGAAAATAAGTATAAACACAATTTATAAAGTGTTTAACTAATGAAATAAAACAACCAGAAGAAATTAGTGTAGAATGTTTCTAATAAAAAGAAAGTCTAATAATTGAAATGGTTCATTATTAATTTGAATCACTCATTATGAACTTATTTTTTATATTTATTACTTCATCTCTCCAATTTTATTCATAAATGTCATATGACTTTTAAAAATTAATATTATATTATTTTATTTAATTTAATTTTCTTATGAAGTTTTTAAAAAAAAACAGAACTTATTTTTTTCATAAACAGAATAAATATGTCAACTTTAGCTTCACCAAATGCTTCATGTTTAGTTGAATTACAACAACGAAACAGTGACTGTGAAAATAGTTCACACTCATTTATCAGTGCATTTAAAAGTTGTGAAGAATTTCTTCATGAGTTTAAAGAACCAACCAACACTGGGTTGTGTGGAAAAACCTTGAGTAAGATTATTAGTGTAGAAAAAGACAAAAAGCCTGTCTTACCAAAGAGGATTAAAAGAAGCAAAGGCAAAGACGTAATGCGTCTTACTCTTTTGAATTCCGGCAATGTCATGTGTCGTAAAGAAATGAAAGAGCCATATGAAATGACTCTAAAACAAGTAAAAACAAAATTTCCAGGTCATCCAATATGGATCCCATCAGAGCATGTCCATGGAAAAATAAAAAAAACCAATTTTGGATTAGTTGTTACTCCTTTAGGAGATGAGTAATGGCTTTTGTTTCTAACAATAAATTTAATAATGCCATTATTTAATTTTTATTGTTTAATTTTTGAATAACTCATAAACAACATTCATACAAAATGATGAAATATGGAAAGAGATAACACCTAAATAAGCATAAAGAAGATGAATATCCAGATAATATCTCATCTATTAATTTCTGGAAATAAAGGTATGAAACTAATACTACTATAGATTTCCTGAATATTAGTTTATATGAAATATGACTAGAAGACATAATTAATAATAGAATGTCAATAATCACTCATAACGATTTAGATTATGGTATTAAACTCAATGACAAATGGAAAGCATCAGGAATTGATCAAATATAAGGTTTTTGGATTAAATATTTAGAACAACAAATGAAGCACTTATTGAAATTATTTAACGAATATTGTTCATTCTAATGAAATACCTCTTCATTTTATCAAATAAAGAATAATATTAGTATATAAGAAATGAGATAAATTAGACAATCAAAACTACAGATCAATAACTTGTTTAAATTGTCTACTAAATAATACATATGCAGCAAAAGAAGGATTATTATACAATACTATAGTCAATCAACTATTAATTAAGAATATATAGAAGTGGATAGAAACATATAACAGTATTAACTATTATTCTCAAATCACTCTTAGAATAGTAAACATTTTCTTTAGAAAATGACTGATGAACAATAGAAGTGTTTCTACATATACTCTGATGTTTGGTTGTTCATTATTCTTTCGTCTTGGTTTAATTGAATAATTATAAAGTTCTATTATTTGTTAAGAAAAGTCTGAAACATCATTTTTATTGAATAAAACATTATTGAAAATATGATTTTTTTTAAGTTTTACGAAATGATGAATGAAGAATGTTTTAGACAGTATTAACATCATTTCATTCAATCAAACATTATTCAAAAAAATCCTTCTAAACTCGAATTAATTAAAAAAAAACATCTTAACTATTCTTTGTATGAAACAATCATTATAAATAAAAGTCATTGATAGTTAACTTCTTTCATTTTTCCATTTGTAGTTCATAATATTTTCTTTTTAGTTGTATGTTTTTTATCAGTTTTTCTATTCACTTTCATCAGTTTCCATTTTTGTGGTTCTGTTTATTGATTTATCTTTAATCAAATTCATTTATTCTTTTTTTTTCTTATATTTTCCATCGTAGTTGATGTTATACTAAAGTTCATGAAAACCCAATTAAATACAAACCATCAAAATAAAACTTCCATCCAAAGAAGAATAATTTCAAGTACCATGGTTATCTGTTATCAACAAAATGTTATTATGATATTCAATTAACTACAACATTTATTTTTTTAAAATATCTTTTTTCTATTCGATCAGTATATAACTTCAGTGCATCATATGAATAAATAAGAACAAATTAATTCAGTGAAATTACTATTTATTCCATATATATCCAATAATGAAACAGTGCTATAACTTTAATTTAATTAACCTAATTTGCAATGACACAACTCAATCATTATGTTTTTTTTTTCAAATAAAAACACCTTTCTCATTAACTTCCATTACTTACATAAGTAAATCTTCTTTGAAGAATTAAGAAAATCATTCAATTTTATTCTGACATATCATCTTTGAATCAGGGAATTATTTTATTGTAAAAACGAAAAAGATGAATGAAAACGAACTTAAATATATAATGACAGTTTCTAAAATACTTAAGACTATTCACTTGACAAAAGGATGGAATTATTATAGGAATTACATTGGATTTTTTATTATAGGAACAATAAACAATATTAACTTTGTTGTTGTCAATTCATCAGCAAGTAGTTTATGTTCATTTTTTAAAGCAGACAAATGGAATCCATTGATATTATGGTGCAATGTATTTGCAGGGTTAATCCTAAGAATATTGAACATGTTGTTTTTATATAAAATACCTATTAAAATTAGATTATTGTTTTCTACAATTTTTAACTTAGTTGGATTGTTTGGAATGGTTTTATGTATTTTACTTCAAGAATATACTCAAACCACTTCATTTATATTTTTTGGACTATGTCTCTGTATGATTCTGATTATTGGAGGAGTTCAATCATTTGCAGAATCTGTCATCTTATCATACTCTGGCAGATTTCCACCTGAAATGGTTAATGGATGGTCAAGTGGAACAGGGTTTGCTGGGGTAGCTGGAAGTGGATTGTATTTATTTTTTACTGGATTAAACATCCCAAATACTATTAGTTTTACTTGTTTAACACCTCTCTGTGTTATTTATGCAATTGTCTTCTTCTTTATGATTAAACCAGAAGTTAGTACAAATGAAGAACAACAAACATTGATAAATGATACTAATAATGATAGAAAACAAGAAAAAGAGCATAATGAATATGATAATATTAAAGAAGAATTAAAGAATGAGTTAGATTTAATGATTGATGAACAAAAAGAAGAAGGAACATTCTTAGAGAAGTTAAAAAGTGGAATTCAAATGACATGGTGGTTAGGAATCAATCTCACATTGATTTATTTTTTTGAATATGTTATTAACCCTGGTGCTATCTATGTTGCATTTAACAAAGAAAAATCAGAAGAAAGTAACAACTTTTTCATTAAAAATTTTTATGAAGTTCTTGCATTTTGTTATCAATTAGGAGTTTTTATTTCTCGAAGTTCATTACCATTATTCAAGATTAAACCAGTTTGGATATTGACAATAATCCAATGTGTGTTATGCATTTTGATGTCAATTCAAGGCAATTTACATTTTATGTACAATGAATGGGGTATTTGGTTAATGATAGTCATCATGTTAGTTGTTGGGTTAGTTGGTGGAAGTGGTTATGTTCAAGTAATGTATTGGATTTTAACTAAACAAATGAAAAAAGAACAACGAGAATTGGGAATTAGTTTTGTTACATTATTAAACACTTTAGCGGTATTAGCCTCTTCATTAGTATCATTGTTATTGAATGAAACATTGTGGAAAAGTAATTTTGATTATTAGTTGATTTATTCCTTTCTTTTTGTTGATGAATGTTACTCAATAACAAAAGTACTTGAATAAAAAAATGAAAATCTAAAAAAAAATAAAATGGCATTGTATTGTCCTTGGGAACACATTACGTGTAACTCTTGTAATAAAGTCATTACTACAATGACAAGAATAACATGTGTTGAATGTGATAATTTTGATTTATGTTTAGAATGTTTTTCACAAGGAAAAGAAATTGGAAAACATAAGAATAATCATAGTTATCGAGTAATACCATCATTACATTTTCCATTGTTATCAAGTGATTGGGGAGCTGATGAAGAATTAATGTTATTAGAAGCTATTGAACAAAAAGGACTTGATAATTGGCCTGAAGTCGAGAATTTTGTTAAAACCAAAACAGCTAAAGAGTGTAGAAGTCATTATTATGACTATTATTTAAATTCTAAAACACATCCTCTTCCAGATCTTGAAGAAAGCTTCTTAAAGAAGAATGGAATAGTTGACATGAAACCATCTCGAATTGTTCATTTTAAAGACGATGAATTTGACTCTCGACCTCAGAAAGAAACAGGATGTACACAACCTACATATGAAGGATATGATGCATCTTTTAATCCATATCGAAGAGAATTTGCATTTGAATATTTTAATAATGCAGAATTATCAATTTGTAATATAGCTTTTACTGATAAAGATACTCCTGAAGAACGAGAAATGAAATTTCATAAATTAGAAGAATATTATAAAATGTATTGTGAAAGAGTTAGAATTAGAGATATTGTTATTAATCAAGAACTTGTTGATCCAAAGAAACTCAGAATAGCTGATAGAAAAAGAAGTAAAGAAGAAAAAGAACTTCATGATTTAAATTGTCAATTTCTTGTAGCATTAGGAAAAGAAGATTTTGAAAAGTATATTAAAGCGTTAGTAGGTTTGTTTATTTCATTATTTATTCATTATAAAATTACAAGTCATTAATACTAATCTCAATTTGTAGAAGAAAGTAAATTGAAAACTAAAATACGAAATTTAAAACAAAAAAGAAGAGATGGTTGTTTAACATTACAAGAATCAAAAAGTAGAAGAGTTTGTTATATTTATTAGGTAATATTTCCTTTAATATATAAAATTATTCATATCTAGAAAATTAATACTTATAATTATACGTCTGAATTAAAACAAGTTTCTTATACAAAACCAAGTAAACATCCTCATTAATTCATTGTCAATTTCTCTTATATCCCTTTGTTGTTTTCTTCTTCTTGTTTTATTCTTGTTATTTTAATTCAACTTTATTCTATTAATTGCTTAACTTCTCTAATGACGTAAATGGTGGAGTTGGAAGAAATCCTAGCCAAAGTGGTTTTGATGGAGAAACTTGCATCACTTCTTTCCAATTTAAAAGAATGGATTTGTAATATTTGTTTTTGATAAATCTACGTTCTCTAATCATTTGACCAAAGTCATCAACAACTTCTTTCATAGTATAATTGAATGTAATTGTAAACATCACTGCTATAACATTCATTGTTAAAGCAAATGTCATGTTACCGAAGAATAATACTAAAAGAACTATAAACACATAATAGAAATGTGACTATTATTTAAGTTTTGATTATTTTGTATTTTCTCATTATAAAAACAGTGTTATTGAAGTGGTAGATAGAAAAAAAAAAGAATAACAAACACCACCAACATATACAACTATCTTGTACAAATGAACGTCTGCTAATAATAATGCAACCCATAGATAAAATTGGAATAAAAAGAAATATCTATAGTTATGATACCCCAAACTATTTCCTACCATTGCACAATAATGGTCATATCTATAAATGCATTGATTTGTAACATTACAATGGTGAACTCTATCTGCCTTATATCTCTTACAAATATCACAGTATTGATCCTCTTCTTTTTTTTCTTCATCAACTTGATAATATTGTTTAGGAATACATTCTGCAGTCACGTAATGGCACTGGTAATAATTATATGTGATTAAGTACACCAATCCCTGCGCTATAATAAACCAAAATATGACTGTAACTAGAGAATACAACAATGGTAATACAAAAATAATTAGTGCATTGACTGCTAAATAACATATCCCAATCAGACAAAATACTACTTTCACTGGAAGTTTTTTTAACCCTTCCTGACTAACATCCAGACAACAAAGTGGTTTTGACTTATTGCTTATATCCATTAAATTATTAAGTTCTTAACTACTTAAATTAGAAGATACAAAAAGTGGTTAGTATGAATATTATGATTATTCTCAGTGTTGTTTTTCATTTAAATAAAATTCATACCTCTTTACTTTTTATTAGGCATTACTTTTCATTTGGAACTGTTTTTGTTAATGATGTGATATTCTTTTTAGTAATTTTATTAGTTTCTTGTCTTATGACTGTTCCATCTTTCAGTTTTACTTGATGTGTTATTTCAATGCATTGCATGACATACACTCTTCAAGATTTATTTCATTTGAACTTGTATGAACATTTCTGTTGAGTAGTATTATTTGAAGTATTGAATGAAATTTTGAAGAAGTAATTTAATGTTAGAAATATTTCACAAACCAAGGAAATTTCTTTAAATAAACAAACAATGGATAAAATAATATACAAATTGAACAATATATGACGTTGTGTTTTAAACCAATAAACCACTTAAACCAAATACAAAAAAATAATCTACTTAAAATTGTTTTTTATTCATGTTACTACTTGTTCATGTCATTTGAGCATAGTTAACTGCATCCTTGTAGTAATGAAGAAACAGAAAATCTATTTGAACACAAATATGTTATTTTACTTCTGTGTTTGAAATGCTCGTCATTTCCAGTCGTTGAAAATAGTTTAATTGTTTGTTAACTCTTCTTTCTATTAACTTGAATTATATTGCATCAACTTAGTCTTTTAAAAAGAAGTTGGTTAGTAATATCAGATATATTTAATTATAACACTCTTGTGGTAGTTTCAATGTTTTTGAAGCTTATCTAAAACTGAATGTACTTAACTATTCTTTATCCAACTTCATTTCTAATTTTTTTAAAAAATCTGTTTTTGTTTTGTGAATTAATACAACAAATTTACAAGCCATTCTTTGATTTATTAAAAATAAATCTTTTATTTTTTTGCTTAGTCATTTGTCTCGACGATAAAAAGGTTATGTTTTATTTTTATAAACATAGACAGTAGAAATAAATTAAAATAAAGCAATTAATTCAGTATTAATAGAACTAGCTTTTATTGTTTCCTTATCTATTTGAGACTAATCCCATCCCTTCGTCTTCATCTTCTTGTAGTTATATGGAGTATGTTTTGTTGTGATAAAATCAATATTCCATGACATCCATCATGTTTTTATTACATGGTTTTAATTTCTTTCTCGATGTCAATGTCAATTTTTAATTCTTTAATTAATTTATTACTTTCTTTATTCATTATTCCGTTTATTGAAATTACTACTGGATTTATTTTGTCATCTTTTAATTTTTCTATTTTCATTTTAATATTCTTTATTTCCTTATACTTATTTCTTTTCTTCCAAATGCGTTCAATTAATATTGTGATAATCTATAATAGTCATATCAAATATTAGACAAGTTTTATTCTTTTTATCTAATACATATATGTCTGGTATTTTGTGATATTGTCATTCATTTTTAGGCATTATTTATTTGTTCAATATCATAGTGATGTCTTTATATTTGAACACTGTTTCATAATTTTATTTTTATATTGTTGTAATAAATAAATTTAATGAAAGAAAAAAGAAACTTATCTTAGAAAATAACAATATTATAATTTTATTATTATTATATTATTAATATTATTATATATTTATTGTTATTGTAAAAATAAAAATGAATAACATTTATTTGAAGTAGAATGATGTTCAAAATAATGATTGACTTGATGTTAATAACGTGGATTAACTATTTAAACATCCATATTTTGAACTTATAAAAGTCAAACTAAATTAAAATGGAATCATTGTTTAACAATCAATTGGTCAAAGAAGTTGTAAAAATACTTCCAAATATTCAACAATCAATTGATGATACTACTAAGAATTATCAATATTATTTAGGAAGTATTAAAAATGAAGTATTTGAAATAAAAGAAAATGAAACATATTCAGAAGCAATTAAAAGGGGAGAAGGGATATTTGATAGGATTGATGAAGTAGCTAGAAGAAGAAGACTAGTGATAGAGAAAGGAAAAGAAACAGTAAATAAAATAAAGACAGTAACGGATAAAATGGAAAGAATCATGAAAGAATGTAATAATGATAAAGAAACAGTTAACAAAGCGAAGAATGAACTAATAGATAAAATCATTCATATGGAAGAAATGAATATGGAAGATAAAATTAAGCCATTAGAAGAAGAAATTAATAAAATCACCGCAGAATTTAATAAAAAGAAAGAAGAATGGGAAAAGCATTACAGTGATTATTTAGAAAGGAAGAAGAGAAAAAAAGAAGAGGAAAAAAAGAAACAAGAAGAGGAAAGATTGAGAATAATGAGAGGGATGAACACCATGGAAGAAATGTTACAAATAGAAGAATGGACAAATAGAAAAGTAGGAAATATAATATTTGATTCAGATAAAGATGATTGGAAAGTTAATACATCAATATTTGGAGAAAACATAATGAATAAAGAACATATAATAATTATTATTGAAGATGAAGGAGGAAATAAATTTGGGGGATATGTTAATGAGAAAATTGATAAGGATGATGGTTGGATATATGATTCAAAGTCATTTGTATTTTCATTAAAATCAAAAGGAAGAATTAAAAGAATGATGAAATTTGATATTAAACAACCACATGATGCATTTAGGTTATGGAATCAATCAGATAATTGGTTGTTTAATTTTGGATGTAACTCTGGTGATATTTGTGCAAGTAAAGAAAATAATAAACCAAAATCATTTTGTCAACAACGCTCATTTGAATATAAAGGAATATCAAATGCACTTTGTGGAAAAGAATATCCAAAACGTTTCACACCAAAACGAATCATAGTAATTGAAATGAAATGATTCAATCTTGAATGATTGAAAATGAAATAAAAAAGAATAAAAACAAATCAATGAAGAATATGAACATTTCGTTCATCTAAAATGAATGAAATGGTGAATTAAAAATGGTTATAATTCATTGTTAATTTATTTCATTTGAAATATTCATACACAATGAGGGTGTTTTTATCAAATAAAAAGAAAGAAGAAACTGAAAGAAGAAATAATACAAAGAGAGTTTATAATTAAAATAGATGACTGTTATATTCGTTAAATTCTCATTTGAAACATTTATATTTAAATTCTCATTCAACTATTCGTTATTGATTATGATGAAATTTTATTTTATTGATTTAAATTCACTAAACTCATTAATTTTTACATTAGTAATAACACAATTAATAAACATTATATCTTCAGTTGATCTAGTTTCATTTTCTTATTTATTTTTGATTTCATTATACTCATATTAATAATTCCAATTAATTATTTATTCAATACACTCAATTGACTTTTAAAATTAAAATCTTATTAATACTACTTTATATCATTTTGTTATGTTAATATTATTAATTAGCATAATCTCTTTGAGTTGGTATTTAAGTATATAATTTCATTTTTGATTAGTATTCTCGTTGTAACAATAACTTTTATTTCTTGCCATTAGTATTATTTGTTTGTGAGATACTTTTGATATTGAGATATTATTAAAATAACTGTCTAGTGTAAAATACAAAATAAATAAAATAATAAATGATTAAAATCCCATGTATGACATGTATTACTTTCAAATTCAAAGCATATATTCATATGATAATAAAATTTATTCAGTTTTGTAAATTTATTAAAATAAACATATTTATTTGATTAATGTTACAAATTATTTATGATATAGCAAGATGGTTATAACAATTTAACAAAACTAATTAATTTCAACAATAAATTATTATTTAATATTAAATTTCATTCAATAATATTTGTTTACTAAGTTTATATTGCAAATGAGTTATTCTAAAGAACTAATCAAAACAATATAATTGTCAATATTTAAATAAATCTTTGTTATTTTCAAAATTAAATACAACATTTGGCTTTTCTTCATTCAGTTTAATCAATTTTTTAATAAAAGAAAACAACAATAGTAGAATTAAATTATCTTTTATTTAATTCAAACCATTTTATTTTAAGTGACTATTCTTTGTTCCTTTCCGTTTTAAACATAATTATTCTTCAAATAAAACATAGTTATTCAAAATTATTTATTGAGTCTCTGACTCAAGTTCTTTTTCCAATTCTTTACGATCTGTTTTTGGGAGTTGTGGTATTGATTGATCAGACAAACTGAAAATAGAAAGAAGTGTTGTTATTACATTTGATAAACTTTGAACTTCCTCGTAAATTGTATTTTGATTCTGTTGTAAAGTTGTGAATGCTTTTTCCAATGAATTAACTGATTCTTGAAGTGTCTTTAATGTTTTATTCACTTCATATTCTTGTGAAGTACAATCATCCACTCCATCATCAAATATGATATGTGTTGTTGATTGAACTTGTTTCTGAACACCAGAATTTGAAAGTTTATCACCACTATTTATTTCAGTTTTTTGTTCCATTTCAATGGTTTTATCATCATTCGAACAAATATTGTTTTTATTATCATTTTCGTTTATTAAAACTTCTTTCTTCTCATTCAGTTGTTGTGGTTTTTCTTGTTCTTCATCTTTGTTTTTGTTCATAATCTTTCTTTTTAGAGCATCAATTGCAAAACCTCCTCCGTTACTATTAGTCAAATATCTTCTCTCAATAAACAATGTTTTTGAGTCTCGTGTTAATGAAGAAGAAAGAGATGGAAGTAACTCTTCTGCCTGTTCAAGAGAACTTGGTGATATTTTAAAGACTTCACTATTGTTTTTCATTGGCTTATATTCATTTCCTTTTCTTTGTCGTTTAACTTTTTTTCTTTTTATTGTTTTAATACAAGAGAAGTTTGTTGGGTCAAATGATTCATGAACAAAACAGTCTTGCCCATCAATAACTTTTTTATGAAAGTCATATCCATTCAATTGTCTAATAAAACTTTCTTGTTTAACATTTGGGAAGTGTTTTGGTAAAATGTAATCAACAAACAATTGTTTGTCATACAAAAAGAAGCCATGATTCTCCTTATTATACTCAACTATCCTTTTTGATTCTTTATCATTTAACATCTCAAATAATTTGACTAGAAATTGAGAAAATTCTTGTGGAAATCCACTGATATGGTTATCTTTATTCTCCATGTTTAAACATTCTTAGTTTCTTTCTCAGAATGGATTAGATACCATTATCCAGTACTTGTTTCAATATAAATGCATTTAATTAATTTTCACTTAAAATATATCTTTTTGTTTCGTTCAATATAATTTCCATTTTATATACTTAAGAGTTATTTTCATAGACTTTATTGTTGAATAAAAAAAAAGAAATGTGGTATAAAAAGAATTTATAAAACTAATGGAGTTGTTGTTCAATATTTAAATTAACTTAAGATATGTTTGAATTTCTCTATATGTTCTATCAAAGTATTGAAAACGTCGAAATAGGTTTAAATTTTCTTTTAAATCCATTTTATAAGAAGTGATTGAAGATTGTACTCTTTGTTCTGTGAAACTTTCTCCAAATAATAAACATAGATTCTATATGAAAATAAATACATTTGACAATAATTGATATTTTATTATAAAAGAAAAATACAAACAATTTGAACTATTGGAATAAATTCTTTAAGAAAGAAATAAACACAGGAAGATGCTAATAACTTAAAATCAAACATACTAAATCTTGGAAGAAAACTAATTAAAATGATCATTAATTCTGCATTTCTCTTGATACAATCACCAACAAACACTGATGAATTATTATATTGAACAAATGATGAACAATAAGAGATACAAAAATCAATTGGATTTCCAGATTGATGCAAATAAGAATTGTATTTTTTAATTGAATTACAAACACTCTTGATTTCATTTGATGTAAATCTGTTATGACAAATTTGAAACAATTGTATAGGAGTTATTGTGAGTTTATTTTCAGAAACAACAATGAAACTACACATCATAATCAAATCTCTTGAAATAGTTAATTTGTTAAGTACATTATCAAAAAGTATTATAGCATCTAAAGCAACAATCTTATCTAATCTATATCTTTCAGTGATTGCATATATCCAATTAACTAAATCACATCTAGCTTTCACATCTTCTGGAAGAGGTTTTGGTTGAATACAAACATCTACTATATCCTGAATATCCCTAATAGCTTTTTTATCTTCTGATGATTGATGTGGGGTATCTTTAACTATTTCACTACTCATATAATCTAAAATGAATGTACAGATCCTTGTTATCTATTCTTTGTTTCTAATTTAAAAATAGCTATCACAAAAATTATAATCCAATGAACAATGACAAAAAATTCAATCTGTTAAGTTATATTTTTATTTTTCGAAAAACAAAAAAATATGAAACAGAATGATTTGAGTTAATCAAATGAAACTCAAAATTACATGAAAGAGATACTCTGAAAATGGAACAAAGAAAAAAGAAGAATACGTGGCAAATAGAATAAGAAAAATGGGAGAATGAAATAAAAAGAAAAAGAAGAGAAAAAAAAGAATGAAAAAAGAGTTATATTTAATAATAAAAAATAAATTAAATTAAAAAACAACTTGAAAAAACAGTAGACAATATATTAATTTATCAATGAAACCTAGTATTCCTGCTATTTCTACTGTACTTTGTAATGGTATTGTATGTTTCTTGTTTGTATTATAATAAATGAAAAGTGTTTTATTTTACAATGAAAGAAATGTACTTTAAAAGATTAATTTAAATAGTAATGAAGTACTTTCAATTTGATAAGAAAGAAGAAAATTCACTTGGTGATTTCAATGTAAAATGAAATACTTCAATAAATACAAAATAAAACTAACATATCTTTAGCACACAGAAATTCTTAATAACCCAAAAACTATGGCATTCACCTTTGTTGTTAATCAAGAAAACCAAACTGCAGAAATTATTACTACTAATAAATTTACAACCCTCCTAAATCAAGAACTAATTAAACAATTAACACAAATCGCTACGGCAGCTATAGATGAACCTCAAACAGTAAAAGATGCTGTTGACAAATTTAAAGTATACAAAATTCCTCTCCCTCCAACAATGGAAATGCCTTCACAATCAACAAATAAAATGGAAGAATGTGTAAATAGAGAACGTGCATTTACGCCATTAAGAAGAATGACTCCAATTACTCGTACATCTCCAAGAATGTCTCCAATTACTCGTACATCTCCAAGAATGTCTCCAGCAACTCCTGGATATGCTCAATTAGAACCAGAATTATCTACTAAATTACCTCAACAATCAACTTCTCCAAAAAGAAAACGAGCTATTACTCCTCACAAATTAAATTTCCATCAAACTATAGAAACTACTATTGATGACTCAACAAAACAAAAACTCATAAGTGTATTGAATAAAACAGGTTCAGAAGAACAACATTAACGTTTTGTCTTGTGTATCTAAGGTCTTTTTTTTTATTAATGAATTCTTTTATATGGTATATTTTTTTATCTTATTTTTTGGTTTTCTTTAAAGAAATACCATTTTTGAAAAGAATGAATTTAATAATAAACAATATTCTTTTGAAATGCTAAAGAAAAACAGTGAATCTAGAATGTTTAATAATTCAATCCATTTAAAAGACAGCACGATATGTTACGTATCTTCCTGCAGTTTCACTTTTACGGATAATTTTAACAACATCACCACGTTGAAATCCATAATACTTACTAATTGGATCAGATGTTAATAATCGAGGAAGTTGTGATTCTTTAACTTGATACTTCTTTAATAATTCTTGTTTTTCTTCAGGACTTAAAAGAATATGTTGTGGAACAAGAATATGGTGAGTAACATTAACAATTAATTCATCTTCAAGTAATGCTTCCCATTTTACTTCTCTTGGTTGTTCCATCATTTGTTTAACTGGAGATGAAAGTTTTCCTCTATAAACAATAATAGCACGTTTAACATGTTCTGATTCAACTTCTGTTAAATATTTTCCTAAAACATCTGTCTTCAATGAAACTCCTTCTGCAAAGAAAACAATAATACCATCAGTTGCATCATTTTCTTTTACTACTTTTATAGTTAATTCTTTATGACTATTCGTGAGTTATCAATTTCTTAATTTCTGTTGAACATTATCTTCTTATCATTTTTATTATATAACATTTGAGTAATTAAATATCTCATTCTCTGAAAAAATAAACAAACTCTACTCCTTCTCCTCCTTTATAAAATCGTTCTTTGAATCCTTCGAGTGTTGTGTTATGATCTTCTTCACTTGTGATATATCCTCTGTCCCTAAGCATTTCTAATACGGTTTTCCATGCTCGATAGATATGAGTTACACTCTCCATTTAAATACCCTTTAGTTCTTTTTTTTAGTTTTTTGAAATTTTTAGGGTTTCCTAATTGAAGAAATAGTAAATATCAATTGTGAAAAGGATGATTCAGACTTGTCACTTGTCAATGTTTAGTGATTGAAATGAAAAGACATCATCCCTTAAGAGGGAGTTCTTGTAATAGAACCATTCTATGATGATATTATTCATTTGTTTCGTATCATTAATTAAAGATGGATATTCATTAGAAAGTGCATTTGAAAGAGTATGTAATGGAAAAGCTGATGCAGTATTTTTATGGGTAAATGGAACTTCACCTCATCATTTAGAAGAAATGAGTAAATATGGAAGAACTAAAATAGGTGGATTATATAAAGATTATGGAACAATAAGATTTGGGTTACGTTCTATTATTGAATATGCACCATGGATTAATAGAATTTTTCTTGTGACTGATGGTGAAATACCTGAATATCTTGACATTGAAAAGGGAAAAGAGTCAAATCCACAACTCATTCTTGTTTCTCATAGGGATATCATGAATGTATCAATCTTACCAACATTTGATAGTAATGTTATTGAAAGTTATATTCATCATATACCTGGGATTAGTAAATGTGTTTTATATTTAAATGATGATATGATACTAGGTAAACCTCTTCAGCCAGATTTTTTCATTTCAAAAGATTCAAAATTAAGAGTATATCATAATGGATTTATAGCACCAAACATTGAAGGAGAAAAAAGATCAATTTGGCATCGATCAGTTAGTCATACTAACAAACTTGTTAATCAAAAATTCAGAAATGGAGAAGTTGTCAAACATCCATACCCTTCACATCATTGTTATTTTATGTTAACAAATACATTAAATGAAATGGAAGAAATTTGGATAGATAATTATACTGAATCAAGAGAAAATAAATTTAGAAAAGCAAATGATATTGTTATTTCATTTCTTCATGCAGCAACAATTGTTGAACAACACAAAGGAGAATATGTTAAACAAAAAAATAATTTTTATTTCAGTTGGTGGGGTGGAAATCATACATTAAATTCTCAGACGATGGATAGAATTGCAACAAAACATTATTATTGTATATGTCTTAATGATGCTATTGCAAACGAACCAAACGCTGACCAAGAAATCGATTATTTATATCAAAGATATTCAGAAATTTTACCACATCCTTGTCCATTTGAGAAATTTTGATAATTTATGCAAACTTTATTTTCTTATGAATAGTCACTATTACTATCCTTAATGGGTTTGATAGAAATAATAAATCAGAAATTAAAAAGTTATCTTTCATAGATTTTAGTTTCTCTACTTTTGTTTAAACTTTTTATTTCTTAGTTTAAAAGGAAACTATCAATTTTATTTACTTTTTATGCAAGATATTCCCAATAGAGAATCACCAATATTTAATGAAATAGATAGTACACCAGAAGAAACAGGAGATTATCATTTAAAATTATGTTTTTGTCCTTTTTGTCAATTTGGAATCAAGTCTATGGGATTAGATAAAAAAGAGAACAAAAAAATTATTTCATGGCAATTATTGTGTCGTTCAATTTTGTATTCTCTTTCTGTTGTTAATGCTCCTCGTGTTTATTTTTCATTAAAAAAAGACATTTATTGGTGGATTGTTGATCACTGGTATTGTTTTGGTTCATTACAACAATGTTTGCGTTTGTTTCTATTTAGTTTTAAGATTTCTCATTAATTTAGTTAAAACATCTCCCTCAAAATGGAAAAAGTCATTATTAGATGCTTTAAGCCATTCTTCATTTTTTGAGTCTGGAACAGTCACACTTAAAAAGACAGGAATGTGGCGGTTGAATCAAATAATAGCTCCTTGGGAAGATGACAAATTGTCATCAACTTCTCTTTTTCATCCCATTTCACTTCCTCAGCAACCTCAGTTCTTATCATCTTTAGGAGTTTTGAATGACTTTCATAAATCCAAAGAAACAATACATAAAGATGTGATTTTCAAAATGCCAATTGAAAGTACTGATACAAACACTCAAAATAAGATTAACACTTCTTTGCATGAAAAAAGTACAGAGGATAGTAAAGAAAATAAAGAGATTATTCGTTCTCATTGTATTGAAGCAATCAAAAAATATCAAATGGCTTATGATGAACTTGAAAATGAAATGAAAGGAAATATTCTTGATAACGTCACAATAAAACAATTAAATGATATAAAAGAAGTAACAAAAATGGCTGTATCAGTATTAAATATGTTAGACTCTAGACAAGAAGAACAAAATTCCATACTAATTACTAAGGTGTTAGACAAAAAATAGCAATAAAGTAAATAAAGGTGTTGATGTTTTAATACAAATAGAAAAAGATGAACTTGAAATCTACAAATGGAAAACAAGAATAACAATCATGAAGTGATTGATCTCACTTCTGATAATCTTGAAGAAAAGTCTCTAGTCAGTCAAAGAGAAATTAAAAACCAATTGAAGAAACCAAAAACTTTTGCACTGAGTCTTAATAAAAAAGAACAACACCCACCAAAAGAAACACGAAAGTTTTATCCAAAAGTACCTAGTGTGTCTAAACAAAATAAAAGTGAAATTTTCACGTATCAAAATGAAGTAACTAAGAAATGTGAAGGAATTGAATGTCCAATTTGTCTTCAGTTAACAAGAAATGTAATGACAACTCAATGTGGTCATTTGTTTTGTAAATCATGTTTGACTATAGTTTTAACATCAAGTGATAAAACACCTTTCTGTCCCATTTGTCATTCACAAATCAGTCTTGTTACATCACACCGAATTTATCTTTAATAAATTAACTATAATTAACTATAACAAAACTATTTATATTGTTTTCTTTAAAACAAAAAAATAAAAAGGGTTAAAAAAAGAATTAGAAAAGAATTTCAATAACAATGTCAAGAAGAGAAGAAATTGAAAAAGCAATTAATGAGCTTATTGGACAACCAAAAGAATTTGGAGAGGAAGAAATTGATAAAGCAAAGATTGAAAATGATGAAGAGCTCAAAATGAAGGATTCATTCACAGTTGGTAAGATTAAAGCAGCACAAGGAATTGAAGAGGATAAAAATTGGGAAGGGAAGATCGTTAATAAAGAAGATGTGTTCAATAATTTTTCTAAATCAAATGAAGAAAGTGAAGAAGATAATTCAATGAGTGAAGAAGATGCAGAAAATTCAGAAGAAAATAAAGAAAGTAATGAAGAAGATAATTCAATGAGTGAAGAAGATGAAGAAGAAAGTAATGAAAATAAAGAAAGTAATGAAGAAGGTGAAGAAGATGAAGCTGATAAATTAATTCAACAAACATTAAATGTTGAAACTATACAAAAGAAAACAAATGATGTTGAAAAAGAAGATGTTTCTAATCAAATTAAATTATTTGATACAGCATTAGACATTAGAGTTAAGATGCAAGGAATTCTTGGAGATGTAAATAGTTTACCATTAAGTGAAGATATTAAAATGTTAAGAGAAAATAATGAAAGATTTAAGGAAGAATTAGAAAGTTTAAATAGTTCATTTAAAAACCTTTTCCATAGAACAACAGAGTTATGTGAAACAATAGATAAACAATGGGGAGTTCAATGGGAATATAAATCAACAGATAATGATGAAGAGAAATTAATGAAAGTGAATAAAAAGAAAGATGAACAACGACTTAGTATCATGGAAAAATGGCATTCAAAAACAACAATGATGAATATATCAAAATTCTCTACAAATCAAAATGGTATTGTTCAACAAGTTAATGCTATTCTAAAAGATCAAGAAAGGTTGTTTAGAAGAAGTCAACAATTAAGAGGAACTAAAATTTATTTGAATGAAGACCTTATTTCTTCTTCAGAAGTATTTGATGATGGAGATTTTTATCAACAACTTATTAAAGATGCAGTTGATTATGGTATAACTGGAAAAGGTCAACCTATGATGAATAACACAAAAAAACAAATACAAAAGAAAAAGAAAAGAGTTAACACAGACATCGTATTTCCTAAATTAGAAAATTTTAAATGTCCTGTAGAATATAATGAAAAATTAATGGAAGTTGATCGAAGTATTTTTATTAAGAATTTATTCAAATAACATAGATTGATTATTTATTATTTGATTGATTCTTTATTGAAATTTAATTTCTTTGAGTAAATACTCTTTTCTTTGTTATTTATCTTTTTTGTTTTTTCTTTTTTTTAAAAATAATGAATTATTTCGTTATATATTACATAAACTAAAGTTTCATTCATTGAAAAGACAAATTTTATTGATGAAAATAATTTAAAAATAGAATTACTAATTTAAGAACAAAGAAAAAAAAGAAAAAAAAGTTCAAAAGAACTGTTTTAATACTTCGATTTGACATGGAAGAGAACCAACGGTCTAAAGACCAACAACGAATTATCACACTGTTATTAAATGAACAATTTGAGTTAAGATCTAGCGTAATAAATTCAGAGATACTTGAAGAGGATGATTTAATTACTGACTCACTTACAAAAGGAGAACAAATTGTCAGTCGAATGGATAAAACTATTGGTTCAATTGCTTCTTTATTCAGTGGAGCACATACTACTATAGATGAGTTAAATAATAAATTAGAAGAAGCAACTAATAATAAAGTAGACAATACTATTGATTCATTAAAGAAAGATAAAATGTTATTACAAAATGCTATTGGCTCAATCAACCAAGTTGGTGATATGTTAAAGTTAGCTAATGGAATACAAGAAAGAATTGGTAGTGTAAATACATTTGATGAATGTGTTAATTTACTTCAAGACTGTATTAAAATTTATCAATTTATGAATGATAGAAAAGAATATCAATTTTATAGTGCACATGAAATAGATACAAAGAATCATTTACAAATAGTTTATGATAAAACGTTAGTATTTTATAATGATTTATTTGTTGAGATTAGTAAACCAGAAAGTGTTTCACAAATATTATCAAAAGAGTCTTATATTGGAACAGAATATCTTCAAATGTTAAAGAAAGCTATGCCAATAATATTTGAAGCTGGAACATTATTAAGAGCTAATGCTCATGATGTTTTTGCTGTAATATTTGAGAATAGAAAAGAGTATTTATTAGAAGTTATTCAAAGTATTACTTTACCAGTATTAACTGAAAGTGATGAAGTTGTAGAGTATACAGTAGGATATACTAATGGTAAAAATGCATTTATTACTACTATGAAGCATGTTCTTTCTTTGTTTCAAAACGAACGTATTTTTCAGCAAGATATTCTTCAAAACGATTTTGATAAATTCTTTGTTGGGACTACGGATGAACCATTCACTGCTTTTATTGATTTATATACATCATTTGTTTCAACATTACAAACATTGGATACTCCATTTATTGTTTTCCCATTACTTGATATACTTGAAGTTTATGAAAATATGAAGGCTGACTTCACTAATGCACTTAAAATAAATGAAGATCCAAAGAATAAGTCAAAAGGATTTATTGCGTTAGAAAAAGGATTTAATGTTCTAACATCATCATTTACATTTGGTAGTGATAAAAAAGAAGATGATGAGGAGGAAGATGATTTATATGTTGAAGATACAACAGGAGATAAAAGAGATTCTCAAACTAAAAGAGTAGATGCATTATTTGACACAATGTATACAAATGTTAAAACGTTATTAATTAAATTTAGAGATGAAGTCCTTATAGATTCTACATTAAATAAAATATTTTCATGGACAGAGAGTAGTATTCCAGTAGATGGAACAGTATCTCAACTCGCAGCTGATACAATGCATTATCTTTCTAAATTAGAGAAATATCTTCCACAACTATCTAGTTATATAAGTAGAATGTATAGAGAAGAAAACAAACAAAATAGTAATGGAACAGAAGATGAGGGATATGTAGGAATGTTTGTAGATGTGTGTATTCAAAATTTATGCCAGATGATAGAGGCAAGAGCATCAAAAGAAAAATCCAGACTAGGAAAAATATTTAAAATAAATAATTACGCATTTATTATGAATGTGTGTATGTTAGATGGATTTGAAAAATTATTTGGAAGTAGTTTACAAAAGAAAATAGAAAGTGACTTTACAACAAAAAAAGAAAATGCCATACACGAATATAAAGACTCTCTTCAATCAATTTATGAAACTTTAAATGCTAGACCTAGTAAAAGTGAACAAATTAAGAAAGCTTTTACTTCATTTAATAAAGATTTCCAAGCACTTCATACAGTATCTAGTGGATATTCAGTTTATAATGACCAATTAAAAGAGGAGCTAAGAAGTGTATTAAAAGAACAAATATTAGAACCATACACTCTTTTCTATAATAATTATGAAAAAGTTAAATTTACTCAAAATCCTACTAAATATTTCCTTTATACTCCTCAAATGGTTGAGCAATGTATTAAATTAATGTTTGAAGCTAAAACTGATGTTAATGGTGAATCAAAAGAACTTACGGATTACATTCCTGACTTCCTACAAAATGTACCTCATTTTGTTCCTAAAATGTCTACTATTACTTCTTTAGCTACTCCTTTACAAAATCTTCCACAACATTTAAAAAATCTATCACATAAACCTGTGGATATTGTTAAAGAAACTCCAAAAGTAATTAAAAACCCATTGAAAAGTACTAAGAAGTTTATTAAGAATATTAATCCATTCTAAGTGAATTTTTTTTCTTTTTGATTTTAAAGAATCATTTAGGTTATTTATTTTCATATGCACTTAGCTCAGTAGAAGTTTGTCTTGAAAATGAATGAATTAAATGTGACTCTTTATCAAAAATTACCCCTTTCTGAATAAAATAATTTTGTTGTTCATTTGTTAATTGAATAGAGTCTAAAGGATATGTCTTATGTTCTTCAGCCATTTTTTTAACAATTAAAAAATATTTTTCAAATTGACTCTGTTCAATATACATCATTGAAACACAATTAGATTTAAAATTACTTGAATTAATAAACCTAATTGCAACTATTTCATTTTGATATTGTATGTTAAATGATTTACATAATTTCTTAATATACCTATAATCAAATGAATAAGAAAGTGTTGAATTTTGTACTTGTTCACAATATCTATTAAGTACATTAAGGAACATGTCTTTTACTAAAGAGTTAAAAGTATAACAAGTGATATGATTATCTCCTAATTGATAATTTCCTTTCATCATTTCGGGATTTTGAGCTACAACACAATACCTTTTCATTTCTCTTTTAATGAAAGAATTGTACTTTCTCAATATAAATGTTAAAGAAGGTTGTATTGGTATTTCAAATGAATGTTGTGTTTTAAAATTCTCAAATGAAATAAAGTCATTTATTGCAAATGAATGAAATTGTTCATTATCAAATGTATAATTAAGTTTTAATGGTTTTACATTTAAAGAATTAATATATTTTATAATGTCTTCTTTAGTACATTCTATTTCTTGTTGAAAAATAATTCTTTTATTTTGTTGATCAATAACAAATTGAGCATGAAATTTGTTTTCAAGATAAAGAGGGAGTAAATAATTATAAAATGCATTATCTGCATTATTTATATTAACCAATTGAATACTTTCAACATATGGAACACTATGTTCAATAAACGATTCAATACAATGTAACTCATTTGATTTAAGTTTATGATCAGGAATAATAAATAAAATATCATCTTCTATTTGAATCTTACTTGAACAGAGTTTTGTTGTTGTCTCTTTATAATATCTCAATCTTACTTCATCAAGCACAACTGGAAAATATATTTGTGCCTCTTTTGGAATAACTTGAATATTTCTATAAATTTCATTAGGAATTTCTTCTTCTACATTTCCCCAAATAAGTTGAGTAACTGCTTTCATCATCAAATTACGTTTATGAAAAACTTCAATAATTTTTCTTAAAAATTATTAAAAAAGAAAAACACAAATTTAATTAAAAACCCTAAAAAAAAAAAAATGAAAAGAATTTAAAAATTCAGTTCTTGGTTGATGAGTGCAAATGATCCATTATGGAAAGTTAATGATTTTAAACCAGAGGACAATCCTAATGGACTATTAGAAGAGAGTAGTTTTTCAATTTTATTTCCAAAATATCGAGAATCATATTTAAAAGGGATGTGGTATGTCATAAATAAAGCTTTAGATGAAGTTTGTTTAAAAGGAGAACTTGATTTAGTTAAAGGTATAATGACAGTTAAAACAACTCGTAAAACATGGGATCCATTCATTATTATTAAAGCACGTGATATGTTGAAGTTATTATCAAGAGGAGTTCCAGCACAAGAAGCAATAAAAGTTCTTCAAGACCAATATTGGTGTGATATTATAAAAATTGGTAATATGATTAAAAATAAAGAACGATTTGTTAAAAGAAGACAACGTTTAGTAGGTCCTAATGGAGCTACCCAAAAAGCAATTGAAATATTAACTGGATGTTTTATTTTAATTCAAGGTAAAACAGTAAGTGTAATTGGTTCACCTTCTGGTATTAAAATGGTTAGAAAGATAGTAGAAGATTGTATGGACAATATTCATCCAATTTATAATATTAAGGCATTAATGATTAAAAAAGAATTAATGAAAAACGAAAATATGAAAAACGAAGATTGGTCTCGTTATATTCCTCAATACTCAAAGAAACAAAATACTAAACCTGAAAAATTAAAAGAAATTAAGAAAAAGAAAAAAGAATTAAAAAAGAAAATTATAGAAAAGAAGAAAAATTATTCTCCTTTTCCTCCTGAACGAGATGATTGATTGATTTTTATCATTTTATTTTTACATTAGATTCTATTTTTGTTATTAATTTATATCATTATTCATATCTTCTTTATTAAACTATTTTACTTCTTCTTTTTATTCCTTATTTTCTTCTCAAAATCTTTATGACTCTTTTTGGTTTTTATTTTATAAATTAATATAATAAATCTCATTATGAAGAACAATAACTCTATCTGATAAAATTAATAACTATAAAACTCTTTACCTCTTCTATCTTAAATATTCTTTTCATTACTATTTCTGTAAACCTTCATTTAGTTTAGAATTATTATATTACTTCTTCTTTTATTCTTTATATATTATAATAAACTTCAATTAATGAGTTAATATCTATAAAACTATTTACTATTGAAAACAATACCAACTTTCTTTTGTCTATTATTTTTTATAAATAAATAAAAGCGTAGATTATTATTATTTTTATTCTCTTTTTTAATTTTAATGAATATTTACGTTATATAAAACAAATAAATATTAAAACATAAAACTTGAAAATTGAACAGATTTTATTGAAATGAACCAATCATCACCTCCTCTTGTTCTTGTTGAAAGTGAACAAATTCCAAGAACACAAAATCAAAGAAAGAAAAATTGGAAATGTACATTTCCTAAATGTGAAGAAGCACCTAAAACAAGATATAATTGTTATGCACATGTTTGGGATGCACATTTACGAACAGAACTTAGTAAACCAGGAAAGAATCCAAATAATTTATTATTAACAACGTTTAAGTTATCTCCTCAAAAAGATGATATTAAAAGGTTGTGTGAGGATTATATGATTAAATTGATAGATAAATATCCACCAACAAAAATTAAAAAAAAAATAATAATAAATAATAATGATGGTGATAACAATTTACAATATCCTTTTGCCTTTGACCCTAATTCAAAGTCATTTGACAATGAAATTCATACTAATTCATCATCAAATAGTGTTATTAATAATGAAACTACACCAAGTCGTTCAATAGAAAGTGTTCCAATATCATATTCTGGAGCACCTCTTGCTATTGACACACCTATTGGAATTGAAATGCAACCAACACCAATAAAACAAAACATAAATACAAATGAAATACAACAAATGATTAAAATTCCATCAACAGGAGATTACCAAATATCACCAGAAGATTTTATTAAGATTGAAAAGATTAATGAAAATCTCAGACAATTGCATGTACTTGGAGAAATATTTGCAGAAAATGGATTTTTAGTAAGGTCAGATGCACGAAGTAAAACTGATATTGAAGAAATACACAATTCTCTTAATGGAATTTTATCTTTAGTTGGAGTGTCTTATTCTTATAAAAATGATAGTGATAATAAAAAATATGGATTTGTTGCACAGGATGTACAAAAGATTTATCCAGACTTAGTGAAAGAAGATGATACAGGAAAATTGACAGTAGATTATTTAGGAATTATTCCTCTTCTTGTTGAGGCATTAAAAGAAATACATAATAATGCACAAGGATTAAGAGAAATAGAAGAAATAAATGGTGTATCAAAGAAAGTTGATTGTGCAATTACACAGTTAGAAAAAGTATTATTTGAAATGAATTGTAATAATCCCCAACGAGAAGAAAAATCTAAATTCATTCAATGGAAAATACGTATGATGCATATATTTGGACCAATATCATTTTTAATATTTAGTTGTTTGTTTAGTACCATTACTTGTATAATTATTGCAATTATCTTTCCATCAATGTACTTTTTAATGGGAATAACAATATTATTATCTATTATATTATGGATTTTTGTACTAATTAATAAAACAGAAGTAATGAATTTCTTAAAAACTAAAAAGGCATTCTTTCCAATAAAAAATAATATCAATTTTAAATGGAGATTATCCCAATATATTACGTGGTATATTGTTTTTTCACTTTTAATGTCAATGTTAATGCTGTCTATTATCATTGGATATCATGTAATAACTCTTGTTAGTTGTTATATTATTGGTGTAATAATATCATTAGTAATATGTTATTTTATTAATAAAGCATCATATAGATTTGGACTTCCATATCAATATTCATTTATTGTTTTAGTAATCTTTCAAGCTATTTGTATTGCAGTTATTATTCTTTGTACTGTATATCAACCATTTTATGAAGGAAAAAATTTTGGAGATGATTCTCAATATGTAGTTCATCTTTCAGATAATGTAGAAGTAAGGCATGTAACTATGCCTCAAATATCATGGAATTGTTTTTCACCAAAAATAATTAGTGAACCTTATTTACCAAATGGATTATCATTTAATACCTCACAGAAATTATTTTGTTTATCTCATCCTTTTCTTATGGGAATTCCACATGGTGACATTGTTGATTCAGTAGTTAAAGTGAGTCTTCAATGTAATGGAATTGTCCTTCTTGATTATCCTACATTAACATTTAAAACATGTGCAAAAAATACTGATCCAGGATTATGTAGTATTAATTCATGTGGTTATTGTCGTTCATCAAAATCAAGTTTCTGTGGGATATGTGATGATTATTTTACAAAGCAATGTCAATCAGTTGCTGGTATTTCTAATTGTTAATTTCTGTTTGTTTAGAAAAATGTTTTATATTTCAAATTTCATACAATTAAAAACCCTTAAAAAAATTTTTTTAGTATTAGACAAAATAAATGAAAAAATACCAGAAAATCTCAAGATAAAGGAAAAAAAGTAAATGTGAGAACAAAAAAATTAAATAATAAAGCCAAAAAATAAAAATAAAAAAAGAAATGATATTTTATTTTTAAAGATTAAATGAGTAATATCTTGAGATTTAAGATAAATGAAAAGGTATTGTGTCATAAACATGAAGATCCTGAAGGATCATATAGAGAAGCAAGAATTCTTGAAACAAGAGAACATAATGGAAATACAGAATATTATGTTAGATATACAGAATATAATAAACGATTAGATGAATGGACAGCAGCAAATAATATTATACGATATTCATCAAAAGAAAATATTATTAGACCTACAACAAAAGAAGATGGAGTTAGTCAACGTAAAATGACAAGAGCATTACGTCAATCAAATGTTTCTATGTTAGAAAAAGATAGTGAAGTTATTGATAAAACAACACCACAAGAAAATGAAATATTTCAAAGAACAAAAAATATTCAACATGTTACTATTGGAGATTATGATTTAAATGTTTGGTATTTTTCACCATATCCTGGAGAATATGGACATGCAGAAAGATTATATATTTGTGAACATTGTCTTAAATATATGTCTAAAGCAAATACTTATATTAAACATAGAGAACATTGTCCATATCATTTTCCACCAGGATTATTAATTTATAAAGATGATGAAAGACATTTAGCATTTTTTGAAGTTGATGGAGCAGAAGCAAAAATGTTTTGTCAATCACTTTGTTTATTAAGTAAAATGTTTTTAGATCATAAAACATTATATTATGATGTAGAACCATTCTATTTCTATGTTCTTTGTGAATTTAATTATAATGAACAGTGGAAAAGTGATGATTATCATATTGTTGGTTATTTTTCAAAAGAAAAAGCTAGTCCTGATGGGTATAATTTAAGTTGTTTAATGGTATTACCACATCATCAACGAAAAGGATATGGTAAAATGCTTATTTCAATGAGTTATGAATTAAGTAAAATTGAAGGAATTCCAGGAAGTCCTGAGAAACCATTAAGTGATTTAGGATTAGTTAGTTTCAAAAGTTATTGGTCAGGAGTAATTGCAGAAGAATTATTAAATTCAACTGAAATTCCCTCCATTGAAGATCTTACTTTAAAAACAGGAATAACAAAAGAGGATTGTGTAAGTGCTTTAGATACTTTAAATTGTATTTCTCCATATCGAGGATCACAAATTATTTCAATTAATCACATTAAAATGGAGGCATTACGTGAAAAGTGTTCAAAGAAAGTGGTTTTAGTGAAAAAAGAATTACTTCATTGGAAACCACATTCAGTAGTAGTAAAATATCCTAATGTTATGCAAACACTTAAGACATATTGTTAATTCAAGTGAGAAAGATATTTATTAATATTTTCAATATCAGTTTTATCATTAAAAAAAAACAACAACAAATTATTTTAGAGAAAAAATAAAAAAAAAGAATTTATTTTTTAAAAAACCCTTGATGACTGAAACAAGTAGCCACATTCCGAAGAAAGCTGATACAAAAGTAATTATTAAAAGAAGTACTATTGACCAAATCATGTCAGAAAGAAAGAAAAGAAAACAAATGAAAGACCAAATGAAAAAAATTCAAAAGAAAAATAAAAAAATTCACATTAAATTAAGTCTTGAACGTATTGTTGCTGTTAAAAAGAAGCAAATGAATGAAACAGCACGTAGTCAGTTTCTTTCTAAAGTAATGGCTAAACAACCACCACGAGGATTTACTGAACCAGTTGCTGTTATGTTACTTAGAACTCCAATAACAGCAATTAAAGAAATTAAAGAAATATTAAATGGATTTGGATTAAGACAACCAATGGAAACTAGAATTATTGTTGGAACACCAGAAAATATGTCAAAATTAAAAATAGTTAATTTATATATTACTTATGGTCCTATTCATTCAGAAACTATTAGAGAATTAATTATTAAACGAGGTAGAATTCAAATTGGTGATCAAGAACCTATTGCTATTACAAGTAATTCTATTGTTAAAGAAGCTTTTGCAGGTAAAGTTGATACTATTGAATGTATTGAAGATCTTGTTAATGAAATTACACAAGGAAAACATTTTGATGAAATTTTTAGTGTATTATCTCCATTTATATTTTCTAGTGAAAAATTTAGAAATTATAGATTTAATAAACTTGGAGGAGTCACAGGACTACGTGTTACTGGAATGGATGAATGGTTATTACAACGTATCTGATTGATTTTTACTGTTTTCTTTTGGTTTATTTTAGATAGTTAGTTAGAATGTAATTTAAAAAGTAATAATTGAATTTAATTCAATGTTTCATATTAAGTTCAATTATATAGATTTAATAATTGTTTTTCTGAAGCAGAAATAAGTTCAATTGAGTTAAGATCAATACATGAAGGTGGAAGAGATGGGTGTTGAAGAACATCACATGACCTTAAATAAAATTTCCTCAAATGAGTTGCTTCTGATAAAATAATTTGTTTTAGTAATTTACATTTACAGAGATTCACAAGTTGAATGGTTGTTGGAAGAGATAGAATTTCTATTCCATTTACATTATAAAATAATAACTTAGTCAAATGAAGAGAATCAAGAAAAAGACTAGAAGTCAATGTACAAGAGTCACACCGAAGATAATTCAAAGAATGTGGAAGATATTCTAAGTTTTGGCATTGACATAAATCTTTTAAGTATAAAGTTTTTAGAGGACAATATTCAATTGTCTTATTAATTTGAGTATTATTAAGTAAGAGTGAAGTAAGTGTTGTAGGATATTTTGAGAGTGGTAATATATTAACATGAATGAGTTTCATATTTAATAAATTATTTGATTTAAATTCTATATAATCACTGTTTTCTATAATTACTTGTGTTGTAGATTTTGGAAGTGTTATTTCTTCATTAAAGATACAATTAACAAAATGAAGTTGTTTAAGACATTTAAATTTTGAATAGTCTGGATGAATAATTGTTGAAATTTTAAGATTATTCAATTGAAAACAATTTTCTAATGATAGAATATTAGGTATTGTTGATGGAATTGCTTGATATTGTAAATTAATTGAAATAGGTATTTTTCTTGATGATGGAGGTTTATAAAATTGAATAGAAAAATTAGAATCTGTTTGAGAATTAGTTCTAGAAGAAGAAATAATTTTGTCTTCAGAGTCTTCAGTACATTCTGTTGTTTGTGAATCTTTAATAACAATACATTGTGTAGAATCATCAGAAATAAAACTACCTTCAAAATAGAGAATGTCTTTATTTTCAATAAACCATTCAGATTTTGTGATACTAATATACCCATTTTTACTAATAATAAATTTTGATTTCATATGAATTTCATTGTAAATAAGTCTTTTACATAATGGTAATACTATATTTTGTTTATTTTCAATAGTACATGAAAATAATTTTAATTCAGTAAGGGTAGATGGAAATTTAATTTCATTACAATTAATAGAATGTATTTCTAATGATTGTACTTCTGTCAAAGATGTCAAATCATAAATATTGTATTTTGTTTGTAAAGTTGAAGGATTTGATAATATGAGTTTAAAAGCACAATATTTTTTGACAATAGACTGAATCATATTAATATTAGTTGTATTTGGTAACCATAATTCTTTTAATCTAATGACATTATCACTTTGAATATTATTTTGACCTTCTACAGTAACTATAAATTTATATGCTTTAAAGAGAATTAAATCATTATCTTTCATATGATGTGCTTGATCAAATATAAATACAGTTTGTTGTGGATATTTTAGTAAATGTTTTTTTATTAATGTTATTTCTGGGTAATGACAACGAACTAATATCCATTGTAATTGGTTATTCATTTGTTTTAAATGAATAAAATTACATTCACTTGAGAAATAACAATCAATTTTTGTTAGAGAAGTGAGTTGAGTAAATTGATTATTCCACTCTGATCGTTCAATAGAGATGATTCTGTTTTGAAGTGAATGAAATAGGGTATATTGATCTTTATTGTTCAGTTTCATATCAATAATTTCAAAAGAAAGGTTTAAGAAACTTAATGAAGGAAGTGAACAAAGTAATTGATAAGAACAACGGATTGTTTTTAATCTTGGAAAAGTTAGTTGATTTAATTTCAATTCAGACCGATAATAATCATATTGTTCATTATCAATATTAGTCTGATTATCTAATAATCCATGTCTGGAGGAAGTTTGGATCATATTTCTGATTTCTTTACTAACTTGTTGTAGTTGTATTATATCTTTTATATTTAAATATGGTAATACACAAAATATACTCTCTTTTAATTTAATTCTATTTGTACTGATAGGAGAATTAAATTGACATTTATCTTTAGGAATTAATTTATATGAACGATAGAGAGGAAACATTTCAATCACTTGTTTTTTTTTTAGTTTTGCTTTTCAATTTTTATTTGAATTACGTTTAAAAAGAAACAAACAAAAATAAAGAATATTCAATTTATTTTTGATTGTAATGATTTAATTGTTTTTTGTAAAGAAAATATTCCAAATTCTATTCGTGTCGTATTACGTTCTAATCCTCCATCAATGTCTAATTCCATTTTTTCATTTCCTGATGTAATATTACAAATTTCATTTGCTTTCTTTAATTGTTCTTTGTCTTCATGAGTTAGTCCCTTTAACATTAATGATCTTACATTAAGAAGATTTGATAAGATTTGATTGAGTGTATTGATATAATCTGTTATGTTACATGGAATTATTGGATATCTCGAAATAAAATGAATAAAACTTACAACATCTACCAGTTCATCAATAATCCCAACAATCCCAAATTTGTCTAAAGATATATACTCATTATTACTTAATAATTTATGGATAATTCCATCAATCTCAGTATATACTAATGATGGACAATTAAAACAAGGTAATTTAGGATTTTTGAAGGAAAAGGAGATAAATAATCGAATGATATGAAGAATATAACTCCATAAATGACGATATTTAATAGTATCAAATACTTTTATAATTAAATTTTTAATAGACTCTGAATTATGAGAGAGAATATAAAGTTGAAATAATTGAGCTGCTTGTCTTTGTTGTGAAATATCATCAGTTTGGATAGATGTTATTGAATTATGTAGAATAGAAACAACATCAACATCTAAAGTATTTTGGTTATAATTCATAAGGTATTGTAAAATAATAATTGAATGTTGAGGAAATACATTACAATGTTTAATTGCTTCTTCAATCATATGATATATTTTTGAAGTATTGAGAATAAGTGGAATAGGTAATTCAAGTCCTATGAATGTGAGTAATTGTTGAAAATTAAATGAAAGGATGATATTTGGTAAGTTAGTACAACTAAGACATAATGTTCTGATTTTAGTTATCAATGAATTGTTTATTATTTGATTTTTAGTAAGAAGTAATATAATGTATAATACTTCTTTAGACGGTTGAAGAATATTAATAAATGACTCAGTAATACTTTGAATTATCTCTTCATTCTTTTTTTCATTTGTTTCATTCATAAGACTCATGATTTGTTCAATATTTTTATAAGTGTCTTCTAATGACTTTTTTAAACGTTGTTTAGGAATTCTTTCAAGAATAGAAGGAAGATAAGTAAGTGAGTGAAGTAATGTATCAACATTATTTGTATAATTAATCATTGATGTGTGAATGAGAAATAAATCTCTTGGGGAAGCATTGATATAAATTGAATCAAGAAATGGTGAAACACTTGGTTTTATTATTGTGCAACATAATGAATGTAATACAACAAGTATTTCTGCATTATACACTACAACATCAAGTACTTTCTCAATATTTTGTACAAGAAAAATAAATAATTCTTCTAATTCTTTATCAGTCAAATTCAATTCACTTGTAAACAGATAATTCAAAGAATCTTCTATTTTATTTTGGTCATTTAAATTGATTGCATTTCTAACTTTTGCTATAGCTTCGTGTTGATTTAAGAGAGTATCTAATTGCATTTAAGATGAAGTAAAAACAAAAAAGATGAAAAACTAGAAAATTCAAAAAAAAAAACAAACAAAAAAAAAATAAAAGATGTCAAGTTCAGACATTAGCTATGATATTGTTCATTCACTCCCTTCACGTGCTTATAGTTCTTCATATAGTTCAGATAAATTATTAGGAAGAACAAGACATAAACCAACACCATCTGAATATATTTCAATGTTTACAGGATTTTTTGTTGTTGAATTTGATTTAGAAGATGGAGAAGTAGTTATTTTTAAACAACTTAGTAATGAACTTAATAATGGAGTAGAAAAAGAGCTTGTTAGAGTATTAATGGGATGTGATTATTCTGCAGATACAAATGTTCCAGTTGATCCAAAAAATCCACCAAAAGAACGTCAAAATTTAATTTTAACACATTCGATTATGAATTTTCATTGTATCGTTTGTTTAATATACTTTAATAGAAGTATAAATTTATTTTAACAAATTATAGTCCGTTCATTTCTCAGTATTTAATCCAAGTAATAAGAGAGGATATGTATCTACAGTTTGTATTTCAATGCTTCAATCTAGACAATTCTCTTGTCAACAAGCGAAATTTGTAAAAGAAGAATTACAAAAATGTTCAAAACAATTACAAGAAATATCATATTCATATTGGAATGGTACAACACAAACATTTGAATCACCATTAACATTTAGTGAATTAATTAATGCAGCATTACAATCTCAAAATGGACTAAATACAATATTAACATCAACATCAAAAATGTTATTAAATTCACATATTAATACTTCTTATGATTCATATTTTAGTAATATTACTTCTCCATCAACAGTACTTACTCTGGGTAATTTTGCATTATGTAATTCTAGTTTTAGTAAACCTATTCCTCATGACTTTCCATTTCCACCTATTTTTCCTTTATATCAACCATCATTACGTTCTCAAATTTCAGCAAAATATTCATTTAATGATGTTATTGAAACAATGCCAAAACTTCTTCCTCATTTGATCTTAACAATATTATCTGGGTGTAGAATTACTGTTTTTCAATCAACACCAACTCTTAGTGCATTTAAATTAAAAGAAATAGCAGATTTTTTAACATCACTTTGTATTGGAGGAGTATCTTGTGCTCATTATTCACCTGTTTTAAATGATGACAAATCATTTAATGGACAAGTTTTAGTAACAACATCAAATACATTTACAGGAAATGATGCAGCATTAGATTTATCAAAAGGACTTAAAGGATTATTTTATGAAGGAAAAGGGATATTAGATAACTTTATTTCATACACTAAGGAAGGTGGTCAATTTCTTGAAGAACGATATTGGAATATAGTATTAGATTATTGGGGACTTACAGTTCGTTGTTTAGCTGGAGAAAGTATTCCAATGAGTCAAGACAAATATGTTATTCAAAATTTTATTCGAAGAGTAGAAATAGAAAGAGAGGCAAATAAAACAGGAAGAATAGTACCTAAAATTCCAATTTTCTCACCTACTTTATTTAAATTTATTCCAAAGTGAAAGATTTATTTTAACAATTAAATGATTTTGTACGTTCTCTTAATTTGATTAAATTTTCTTTTCTTTTTTCTTTTTTGTACAAAACTTAAACTTAAAATTTTTTATTTATTTTCAATTAAAAGAAGATAAAATATGAATAAAGAAACGTTTTATACAATTATTAAACAAATTAGAAATGAAAATCAAATTTATAAATTGATTTTTGGAAAAGACATTTGTTTTAAAGAAATTAAAGAGAAATGTTCTTCTCTAATTCAAGAAGAAGGATGTAGAAATAAAGGAAATTCTGATTCAAGACATTTATTATATAGATGTAAGACATGTGAAAAAACTCCATCAAGTTGTATATGTTGTCAATGTTTTGATGAAACAAAACATCAAGGACATATTTATTATTCATATTTATCTATGTCTCAATATACATGTGATTGTGGGAATGAACAATATTGGAAAAAAGAAGGATTTTGTAATAAACATCAACATAAATTTAATGGAAATATTAAAGAAATAATTCCAAAAGAAATAAATTATTGTTTAAAATCACTTGCTATATTATTTCAATATTCAATTTCATTCTTAATGGAAAAAGATAATAATGGAGAACTAAATATGATATTTAAAGTGTTATGTCAAATTGATAATATTCCTTATTTTCATAAATTATTTATTTCATTATTAAATGAAAAATATTTATTTCCATCAGACTCCTTACTTTATAATAAATATAACTATCATTCTTTAACTTTATTTCAAAGATATTTTGAATTATCTTTTGTTCATCAACATCTTCCTGATTCTATTCTTACTTTTCTTATTTCATTTCTTACTAATATATCTGAAATGAAGTTTGATTATACTTCAATTTATGACTTAGCTCTTGCATCAGTTTATTTTGATTATTCACCAAATAATGGATTAGAATCTATATTTTCAGGTTTCATTTATGACAAATCAATTGCTGAATATTCTCTTTTTAAATCAGGAAGATTTATTCAAATGATAGACATCTTTATTAATACAATTAAAATTTATTCTTCTGGTATAATTCATGACAATGTTTTAAAAAATGTTGAATCATTACTTGATTATATTAATGGATTAATAAATAATGGAATTAAATATCAATGTTCATTAGAAGAATTCTCTAAAGTATTAGAACTTATTTGTTGTTGTTCACATCTTTTTCCATTTTATATAAAAACAGGAGAACATGATGAAACTGATCCAGATCATTTTGAATATGCTTTTCTTCTTTTATACTCAACATTATTATGTTTTAGTTTAATAGATGTTTTTGATGTTGATGACTTTTATAATAACCATTTTAATTTCATTCATCAAACACTTATGAATCATGTTAAAACATATTTAAATAATGTTCCTCTTATTAATATTAATGGTATTAAAATTCATTTAAGAAAAGTTGGAATTAATCAACAAGTATCACCATTATCAGGAATTAATTATTTCTATTTATTAATTCTTCAAAAATTAATTAATAAAAACCAATTAGATAAAATTTCAATTTCTAATGAAGATGCAATATTATTATGTGAAACATCATTTATTTCATTACAATTTATTCATCAATTTTCAAGTAATGTTTATGTAAGAAATAATATTGATGTTGAATATCATTATACATTTTATATTAATCTTTTTTTACCTCATATGTTAAATGGAGACTTAAACATTTCTAAATTAATGTTAAAATATATTACAATAGATCAATTCATTTATACATTATTAGTTATATTTAATGTAATAGAATTAGAACCAACAAATGAAATTATTGATTTAAATAATTCTCATTTTAATACAAATAATTTTGGTATATTATTAAGTGTTTTAATTCAAATGAATAGAACTCCATTAATTAAAAAAGTATTTAATGATGAATCTTTCATTAAAAATATTATAGCACATATAATAATGACAGGAGAATCCCATCCAACAAACATATCTGAACTTATTCCTTTTTGTGAATTAAATATTAATCAATTATGTGATGAATTAATGATTAAAAAAGGTGTTTTAAAAGAAGAATGGTTAAATAGAATAAATCCATTATATCCTTTCTTACAACCTGAACTTCAAGAACAATTAAAAATAAATACATTATTTGGTGATAAATCATTAAAAAATAACAGATATTATTTTGAAGGATTAAATTGGAATAAAGATTTGTTTAATTGTATTACATCATCTCTTTTCTGGAATATCATTAAAAAAGGATTATCTAATGAAAATATGATATTTATTCTTATGTTAATTACTGACATTAATTCTGAAATACAAAATAATATTTGTTCTACAGAAGATATTAAAAGTCTTGGTATATTTAATGAAGAAAATGTTACTTCAATTACAGAAATATTAAAAAATAATTATACTCAAATTAAAGATTTTGAAATATTTATAAAAGGAATAAATAATATAAATGTAAGAAAATTATTGAAATTTGAGTCTTGTACAGTTATTCCATCACCTGTAAAAACTACTAAACTAACTAAAGCAGATTTATTGAAAAAGAAGGTATTAAAAAAAATGAATGAAAAACAAACTACATTTACACTAAATGAACATATTATTGAAGAATCATCATTAGAAGATCAAAATGAAGATTTTTGTGTTGTTTGTCAATCAATTAAACAAAGTCCATTAGGAAGATTTATTTATTATGATCCTGGATTTGCTGTATTAATTCAAAGAAAAAAAGAAGGTGGAAAAAGTGATTCAGAAACTGTATTTACAACATGTAAACACCACATTCATGAAGAATGTTTTATGGAATTAATTAATCAATATACACAATGTCCAATATGTAAAAGTAAATTTGAATTATTTTTACCATTAAGTAATCAAATTTCAATTATTAATGAAAATACATTTAATGAAAAATATAGTCTAATTAAAATTGCATTTAATAATAATAAGAATAAAATATTTAATGTCTTAATGTCTTGTTTGATTTCAACATTAGAATCATTAGAATTGGCTCAATTTGAAAAAGTTGATATTCATGAAGATGATTTTGATATTCTAAAATCACTATTTATTGCATTAAAATCATTAACAATCAATTTAAAAAGTTATTTAGATGATTTCATTAAATATTCTAACATAAATTCACCACTTTATCTTTATATCATTTTACGACTTTATAACCAAGATATTCAACCAGCATATATTCAACAAGTTAATAATGTTATGAGTATTATTGCTAAAATAAAACCATCTTTATTATCTCATAAACAAATTAACTTCATTAAACCTAGATTAAATAATATGAATATTAATGGATTATCTGATTGTCTTAGTTGTGAAGACGCTGTCAATAAACTTTCTATTTCATTTGAATATTGTATTCATTTAATAGAACCAATAATCAAAAATATTCCAATGACTGATGAAGTACCATTTTTGAAAACAATAAATTATATTGACCATGCAACTGGAAATGATCAATATACATTTATACCAACCATTCCACGACACATCCCATTTATTGAATTACCAAAGACTTTTGAAGGAGTATTAAAAAAGTATTGTTATAGTAAATGTGATAGTTGTGATTCTTTTATTTCAGACGTTCTTTTATCAAGAGTATGTCTTTATTGTGGAAAAGTTATTTGTACTAAAAGAAAATGTTTAGAATATCATTCACATCAATGTTCTTGTGGATTTAATGTTATGTTAGACTTATATAGTGGTGCGTTTTGTTTAAACTATCGTGGTAAGACAATGGCATTATTGTATATGAAGATGAATATGGAGATTGTTTTGATCCAAAAAAATTACTCATTCCAAATCTTTTGTTAAATCCACTAAAAGTTAAATTGTTTGTTCTATTTTATTTTTATTCTTCACCAACCGATTATTCATGTCTTTAGATTTACTAAACTCTTCTTTAAAAATACAATCTTTTCTGATGGAATAGCAGTTAAATTAAAATAAAATATTACTTACGATGTTTATTTTGATGGTATTTTCATTCATTTTCTATTTTAATAATTATCAAATACTCTTACTGTGACTATTTTTTATAATCATAATTCTAAGTCTTAAAAATAATCACCCAACATAAATAAATTCATTAAAGTTTTAAAAGAATATTATATAGATAGTTAACATCGTTTTTAACTCCCTGCATTTACTTAATGATTAATTTCAATTAAAAAAACTATCTCATTCAAAATAGTTTATACAATTTAATTATTCTCTCTAAACATCTCTTAATAGTGTTAATGTTATGATAAGTAGAGTGTTGTTATACCAAATTTTATTTTATGAATTTTATTTTTCTTATAGTTCATATTTCTAGTGTTATTTTATGGCTCATTATGTTAAATTTTAATGACTTATAACGTTAGTTTTATTACATTTATTGTACTAATAAATAACCATTAAATCATCTGATATTATTATCAACAATTATATTTATGAATAATACAAAATTCAATTAAATAAACGCCACGAGAAAATTAAACAATGATATTCAATATACTCTTTTATATAACAGTTCATTAATAGTTATTGGTTATTAAATTAACTAAGTCTTAATGATAAATTAAGTGCATTATTAAATATTTATCCATATAAATAAATAACAATCAACTAAGTATTAATAAAATTGATTTCTTTGGTTCATTTATTTGGAAGAATAACCATATCATAAGAATATTGTCTATTGGTTCTAGTGAGTATATGTGGTTATTATAAAATCAATATTCTATGTCATCCATCATGTTTTTAATGACACATTCTTTTACTTCTGTAACTATGTCAATTTCAAATCTTATTTCTCTTTTATTCTTATTTCTTTTCTTATTTAATAAAAACACTCTCATTGGGTGTGAATATTTCAAATGAAATAAAATAAATCAACCATGAATTATTTCCATTTTTAATTTACCATTTCATTCATTTTAGATGAATGAAATTTTCATATTCCTCATTGTTTTGTTTTTATTCTTTTTTAGTTCATTTTCAAATAAACCAAGATTGAGTCATTTCATTTCAATTACAATAATTCGCTCTGGTGTGAAAGGTTCTGTGTATTCTTTTCCACAAAGTGCATTTGATATTCCTTCAAATTCAAATGAGCATTGTTTACAACTTGATATTGTTTTATAATTTTCTTTACAAACAAGAATATCACCACTCCATCCAAATGCAAACAAATAATTATTTGATTGATTATCTAACCAAAATGCATGTCCTGGTTCTTTAATATCAAATTTCATCATTCTTTTCATTCTTCCTTTTGATTCTAATGAAAATACAAATGATTTTGAATCATATATCCATTGACCAACTTTATCAATTTTAGAATTAACATATCCTCCAAATTTATTTCCTCTTGAATCTTCAATAATAATTATTATATGTTCTTTACCCTTTATTCTTTGACCAAATACTGATGTATTAATATTCCAATTATCAATATCTGAGTCAAATATTACATTGGTTATTCTTCTTTCTGTCCATTCTTCTATTTGTCTCATTTCTTTAATTCCTCTCATTCTTTGCATTCTTTCTTCGTCTTGTTTCTTCCTCTTTTTAATACTTCCTAAATAATATTGATAATTCTTAGTAACACCATCAATTGAATGTTGAATGTGCGGAAGTGTTTCTACTCCTTCTTTAATTAATTGATTATTCTTGTTTATTAACTCTTCCATTTTAATTTAATTTGATGTTTATAAGTTCAAATTATGATGTTTAAATAGTTAAATACACGTTATTAACACATCAAATCAAGTATTATTTTTATCATGTTAATAAATGTTATTTGTTTTTATTATTTTTACAATAACAATAACTATTTAATACTATTAATAATATTGTTATTTTATAATTTTAATAAACAAAACTCAATTGTTAAAAATTATATTGAAAAATATTATTTAATGATAAATAATAATCTAATAATAAAAGAAGAAATGAAATTTCATTAAATTCTAAAAAATAAGAAAAACATAATTTTGTTATAGAGCAAATAACATTTTAAGAATAAAATAACAATAGTTAAAGATATTAAAATTAAAGTTAAAAGAAAAACCATAAAAAGAACTATAAAAAGAAGAGGGTTAAACTGAAATTAAATAGCAGAGATGTCCAAGACTATTAAAGCTCCAGCTGCCAATAAAGTTCTTGTTGAAAAGAAAAAGATCAATAAGACTGAAGAAAAGACATTCAGTTGCACTATTGATTTAACCAACTGCACTGATTTCATTGAACCAAAGAAACTTGTTACATTCTTCAGACAAACCATTAAGGTTCAAGGAAGAGCTGGTAACACCAAAGGAATTGAAGTTAAAGTTGCTGATAAGAAAGTTACTATTACTACTTCCTCTGCTAAACTTTGCAAGAGATATATGAAATATCTTATGAAGAAATACCTTAAGAAGAATAATCTTAGAGAATGGTTGAGAGTTATTTCTGATAAGAAAGACGGATTTGAACTCAAATTCTTCAATGTCCAAAACGATGAAGAAGAAGTTGCTGAAGAAACTAACGCTCAATAAGTAATAAATTTAAGTGGTAGTGTTTTATGTCTGGTTGCACAGTTTTCATTTAATGAAAGCTTTGGTGCAGGGACGAAAAAAGTGTGTTTTTTACATTATTTTTTCCCTGCATTTCAAAGTTAATTTATCTAAGAAATAACAGAGAAAAAATAATGAAAAAAAAAGGAATTTTGTAAATTATGTTTTTTTTGTTTTAGGGTTTAATTTAAATCTTTCTTATTTTTAATGATTTCTTATTGTTTAATAAGAAAATTATAACCAAAAAAGTGGTAGAGGAAAATAAATTAATATTCACTTAACTTTTCTTCTCTTGGACAAGCTTCTTTAACTAACTTATTTTTTCTCATCATATCTACTAACTCTTTTAATGAATTTGCTTCATACACCTTTGTTTTAGAAGATAATATAAATTTAATTTTGTCTTTAGAAGGTGACACTCGTTCAATTCTAGAATGTGTAGTTTTTCCATTTGTTCGTTTAGTAAGTGTAAAAGGATATTTTGGGTCAGTTGTTGAGATTCTAATCAAAAACGTTCCATCAACTCTACCTTCTAATTGAGCTTGAGATTGATCTTTTGTAAATGTATTAAAAAACCAATCTGATTGTATCGTTTCAATCATTGACTTAAATACATCTTTAGATTTATAAAAAACACCAAATAAATGAATCAAATGACCAAAAAAGGCTGTTGAAACTTCATTGTTATCACTCAATACTTGTTCAGCTATGTATTGATCGAAGTCTTTTATTCCATGTGTATCTTTTAATGCATCAATAAAATCAGAAACAGGAACAGATGTTTCAATATCATTCCCTTTACATGAAAAATATTTTTTCCACCAAACAGAAGCAGATTTTTTTCCAAGAGTATATGACAATTTAGCTTCATCAACCATATCAACCATTATATTAATATCAATTCTTTTTGTAGGATCATGTTCCCATGCACATTCCATAATTTTTTCAATATAATCAGGTATGGCTTTTGCAAGGTCTCCATACTTTTGGTGCATTTTCATTAATGTACTTGCCATAGCCTTTTCTTCTCCCTTTTTGATCACTCCTTTTTCAAAAGTATTTGGCAAAATTGGTCTTCCTTTATTAGAAATGAATGTTCTGAATTTATCTGGGTCTTTTAAAAATTCTTCAAAAGGTAGTCTTTCATAAAACAACTCCCACATAGTAATAGCAAGTGCATAGACATCAACAGCTTTTTCACATTTTTTCTCCCAAACTTCTGGAGCACAGTACAATGGAGAACCTTTGGCTTGCTTAGTCTGATTAGTATCTATCTCAGCAAATCCAAAGTCACATACCTTAACATGAAATGAAGTATCAATCAAAAAATTAGCAGGTTTAATATCTCTATGAATTAAATTCATACCATTGTGAAGCCATTGAACTCCTTTACAACATTGCTCAATAATATTGAGTTTAAGTTCAGTAGTTAAAACACAACTATAAATTTCTGGATGAAGTGATTCATCTCGACGATGAATTAATTGAGCAAGATCACCATCAAGAAGTTCAGTAATTAGCATAACTCTTCCAGAGTCAATGGATATACCAATAAATAATACAACATTTGGATGATGACATTTTTTCATTAAATCCATTTCTGTGACAAATGATTTAAGTTGATCAGTACTGAATTTAGTTTCATGAGAAACTTTTACAGCAACATTAAGACCTTTAATTTGAGCACGATATACTGAACCAAATTGACCTCTTCCAACAAAATCTATCTCTTCATCATAAATAATATCAGAAGCAGTTATCTCAAGGGAAGATTTAGCAAATTCATCTAATGCCTAAATCAATGAATTAATTTTGTCTTTTAATTATTCTTGTAACGTTGGTTAATTAATCAAAAAAGTATAAAATCTAAAGTTGACGACTAATAAGAACAAACACTACTCATTGTTAAAGTAAAACAATGTTTTTAAGATCTTTTTATATGTTAAGAGAACCAATTATTTAATTGTTTTCTAAAAAATAATAAATCAATTTTTCATTATTTCCTGAGCTTTGTGTCATTTTCTTCTTAATATTTTTATTTAAAAAAGCTAGTTCAAAGTAACAAAATCTTTAGAAGAAACAAAAAGTATTTGATGAAAATAGGTAATTTTGCAATTTTATTGAAACATCTTTAAAAATCATTTTTTAATTTTAGAGAAGCAAAATGACAAGTTTTACATCATATTTTAAGTTAGATGATGATAGTATAAACAAAGTAATAGAGTACGTAACAATCGAAGATATTTTACCGCTTAAACTTGTTAATCAAAGATTTTTCTCAGTATTAGAAAAAATCACGAAAATTCCTGATTATCAAGGGAATTTTACACAAAAAGCATTAAAATTGTTCCCTAATGCAAGGCAGATCACTTCTCGTCTTGAAAGATATGCTGATATAATTGGAGATGAAGAAATTAATCCAGAAATACAATACAATATTATTTATACTCCAAATGATGTTCCTTATATCCCGTATTTAGAACAAATTTCAACAGACATTTATTCCTTAACTATTCCTTCTCTGATTCCAAATTGTGTTGAGTTATTGCCTATTCTTCTTTCAATGAAAAAGCTTGAAATTTTAAACATTGATGCATCAACTTTATTTAAGATATCAAAATATCTTGCAAGTGTGTTAAGTTCACTACTTTCACTTCCTTCATTGAAAATAATTAAGGTAACATCATTATCATTAACTCTAAGTGACCATCAAAAGTTAATTAAATCTTTATTTTCAAGTAAGTGCAATGACAGTCTTAACATTTATATTGAAATTAATAGAATTCAAGACAATAATACCTTACATCAAATAGTGGAAGTAAAGCCTTCAAACGTTAAATTAGTTATTGATTGCAATGAAAATTATGATAGCCTCTATGATTTACTTTATGACAATAAAGTATTTTATTCTTTTAATAGAGTGATCACTGGCATTGGATGTACAGTGTCTGAAGACTCTGATGATGAAGCAAAATATAAGGATTATCTTAATTGTTTGTTTATACGTTATTTTCCAAGAGCAATATGTCTTAATTGTGTAATGAATCTTAAACAAGTCTCAGAAGTTGAAAATGCAACTGTTTTATATAGTGTAAATGAAAATTTACTAAATAAAATGTCAGTTCTAAAACAATTAACATTAAGTGAGCAATTTGGTGAGAGGAAAAGTCATTATGATTTTAAGGGTTTATCAAATTTGACAAGTCTTAAAGTAATTGCGTTTGAGTCTAGAAAAAGAGTTCTCAAAATTCCTAGTCGTTTGAAAGAATTTATTTCTTCGGGATTTATTTATGATGAAAATGACATTGATAATGATGGAATGAAGGGGTTTGTTAATTTAAACCAACTCACTAGACTAGAGATTTCTAAGTGTCAAAGCATTATTTTAAATTTACCCTCTTCTTTAAAAACACTCCAACTGAGAGACTTTCCCTGTTTGGTTGAATTACCTCAACTACAAAAACTTCAATCATTATCAAGTATTACTATTAATGATTGTCAGTCAATTACATCACTAGCTCTAGGAGATAACGTACGTTTTATAACATTAAACAATTGTGCTCAAATCCAGAGTATTTCTTCTTTTAAGAAAGATTATAAATTATTGACTGAGGCATGTTACCAATTATTATAAAAGGTTATTTGTCATGTAAAGCATAATAATTGAAAAAGATTAAAAAAATCTAAGAAAATTTTTTCATCTTAAAATTATCAAAAGTTTATTTATTAAAAGAAAGAATGAATCGTACTAAAATGACAAAAGCAATGATATTACCAGTTAAATTTATAGTTAACTTAGCAAAGCATAAACAAAGAGTTTCTATTTGGTTATTTGAAAATACAGCGTTAAGGATTGAAGGAACGCTATCTGTTTGTTTATAATATTAATTAGAATAAATTAAATAAGACATTGGTGCAATAAGACATTCATTTTTTAAGGGATTTGACCAATACATAAACTTAGTTCTCACAGACACTGAAGAGGTATATTTAAAAACTAATACTAGAAGAAAGATTGGAACAATTTTATTAAAAGGAGAAAATATATCAGTTATAAGTAAAATTGAAGTTCGTTAAGAGAAATAATTGATTGTTGATTGAACTATGTATTGTTTTGTTAAAACTATTATTTCATGATGACCAAAATACAAAAGAAACCTAAAATAAAGACGTAGAAGGGTTTATTATTTTCAGATTGTTGATGAATAGTCCAGTTCACCCAAAAGTTGAACGGAGAATCACTTTGTTAGAAACAGAAGAAGAAAATAGTAATGGAATGAGTGAAGATGAAAAAAAGGAAGAAATAGAGAGTAGTGATGAAAGTATATCTGTTGATATGGACGAAGAAAGTGGAGATAATGATGAAGATGATGTAAACGTTCAAGAAACAATCTCCACAAAAAAAGAAAAAGGTTTAAAAGTTCAAGAAGAATTAGGTATTGGTAATCCAGTGGTTCGTCATTTAAGAGAAAGAGACCAAACAAAAACAAGAGTTCCAGTAGAAGCAGATGATGGAAATATGAGTGAAGAATATGTAGAAGAAAAACAAGATAGTGAAAGTGAAGAGTTAGAAAAAGAAGAAAGTGAAAAAGAAGAAGAATTAATATTAGAAAGACCAAAAACTAGACTAAGAGAAAGAAAAAATATTGGGATGATTGATTTTGATAGAGAATTTGAAGGTAGTTTCAAAGTATCAAAGAAGAAAAAAATTACTACACCAGTAAAGGCATATAGTCCAATATCATATTTAAGAGATACTATTGACAAAGTTTTAGATTATAGAAACAAAAATGGGAAAGAAATTGGATTTGAAGAAATACTTAATTTTGATTTTGAAAATAATGCAGAATTTGAAATTAAATGGATGAATTTTTCATATAGACATAACACATGGATTAATTTTGAAGAGAGTATTGAAATGAAAGGACTTCTTAAAGTAAAGAATTTTATAAAAAATATTAAGAAACAAGCAGAACTTTATATTGGAGCACCAAAAGAGGATATTGAAGCAATTAATGTAGAGATGGAGAGTCAAAAAGAAGTTATTGAAGGATATAAAAACGTTGAACGTATTATTGATGAACAAGAAGGACCAGACAAACAACTTATGTATTTTGTGAAATGGGTTGGACTACAATATGGTGAATGTTCATGGGAAAAAGAAAGTGATTTAAGAGAAGAAAATGACTTAAAAGAAATAGAAAAGTATCATAAAAGAATTAAAGAATGGGAAGAAAAAAAAAGATGTACGCCACTACCAAGAAAATTTATCAAATTTGTAGAAGGACCAGAAGTAAAAAATAAATTAAGAGACTATCAAATAGAAGGAGTAAATTGGATAACATACGCTTTTTCTCAAAACACTAACGTCATTTTAGCAGATGAAATGGGGTTAGGGAAAACAGTACAAACTATTACTTTTATAAGACATTTATATGATAATTATAACATTATTGGACCATTTCTTGTTATTGTTCCATTATCAACAATTAGTAATTGGAGTAAAGAATTTAATAAATGGGCACCTAAACTTAATTGTGTTGTTTATACTGGGGATGGTGAAAGTAGAGCAATTATTAGAAAAACAGAAATGTTTGGAAATAAAAAAGGAACAATTAAATTTAATGTTCTGTTAACATCATTTGAATTAGTTATTAAAGATCAAGATGTCTTTAATCAATTTCATTGGAAATATACTGTTGTTGATGAAGCACATCGTTTAAAAAATAATGAAGGACAATTATATGAAGTATTAATGAGAACTACAACTGAAAATAAATTATTAATAACAGGAACACCACTTCAAAATACCTTAAAAGAATTATGGAGTTTATTACATTTTCTTCATCCAAAGAAATTTATAAGTTTTGAAGAATTTGAAAAAACATATTCAGTTGAAGGAACAGAAGAAATAAATAAAATTCATAATGAATTAAAACCATATTTATTAAGAAGAATGAAAAAAGATGTAGAAAAATCATTACCACCAAAGAAAGAAAGAATATTAAGAGTTGAATTAAGTCCAATACAAAAACAATATTATAGATGGATTATCACAAAAAATAGTGATGCATTAAAGAAAGCAGTACAACAACAAAAAACATCATTAATGAATATTTGTATGGAATTAAAAAAATTATGTAATCATCCAATTTTAATTAATGAATTAATGAATTCAGAAAATGAAGAAAATCTTATTCAGTCATGTGGTAAAATGATTTTATTAGATAAGTTATTAGTAAAATTAAAAGAAACTGGACATAGAGTTTTAATATTTTCTCAAATGGTTAGAATGCTTGATGTATTATCTAATTATTTACATTTTAGAGGATTTAATTATCAAAGACTAGATGGAGCTATGGGAAGAGAAGCTAGACAAAGAGCTATGGATCATTTTAACGCAAAAGATTCTACAGATTTTGTATTTTTATTATCTACAAGAGCAGGGGGACTTGGAATTAATTTAACAACAGCAGATACAGTTATTATCTATGACTCTGATTGGAATCCACAAAATGATTTACAAGCACAAGCAAGATGTCATAGAATTGGACAAGAAAAAACAGTTAATATTTATAGATTAGCAACTGAAGGAACTATTGAAGAAAAGATATTACTTAGTGCAAAGAAAAAATTAGTATTAGACCATTTAATTATTCAAACTATGGAAAAAAAAGGAAAAAAAAATGGAAATGAATTATTTGATAAGTCAGAATTACAAAAAATTCTTCAATTTGGTGCACAAGATATTTTTAATAAAGATAATGGAGAAAGAAAAGAAGTTAATATAGATGAAATTTTAGAACGTGCTGATGTTGAAGAAGGAAAAGAAGAAAGTAGTGGAGTAAATGATTTATTAGGTGCATTTAATGTAGAAAATTTTGCTATTAGTGGAGGAAATAATGTTAATGAATTTTGGAATTCAGTTATTACTCAACAAGATAAAGAAGAAGCAAGAAAATTAGATGAACAAATACTTGGTGTTATTAGTAAACCTAAAGAAGAAAAAGAGAAAAATGAGAGAAAAAAACGTAAAATTATTGAAGAGGTAGATGAAAAAATAGTAAGAGGAGTACTTCGAGGAATGAAAAGATTTGGTTTTGCAAGAATAGACGATATTATGACAATTGTACGTAGTAGTTATAAAAAACAAAATGATAATTTAGAAGAAATTGTTCGTAATTTAATGGAAAGAATTATTAATGCTTGTAGTAAATTAGATTCAAAAGGAGGAAATGTTAGAGAATTAGAAATGTATGTTGAAGGAATAAAATTTCTTCCATTTGAATTAGTTACTAAGAATGAAGAAATGAAAACAATTGGAATTCTTGTAAAATATATGAAACGACATAATAATCAATTACCTTTTGAAATTAAAAAACCGCAATGGGCAAATGGATTTGAATGGAAAAATGAATATGACCAACAAATTGTATTGGCAGTTCAAAAAAATGGAGTTGGAGTTTGGAGTGAGTTAAAAAAAGATGAAAATAGTGGAATTGATAAAATTCTTGCTGCTGGAGCTACTATAACTCATATTCAAAGAAGAGCTGAAACTATTATTCGAGAAGGAAAAGATTTGATTAGAAGAAAGAAAGTACATAAAGAAAAAAGAAAAGAAATTAGAAATAAGAAAAAAGCTGAAGAAGAGAAAAAAGAAGAAGAATGGAAAAAAGGAATGAATCAAAAAGTTATTTTAGAAAAAATGAATGATGTTAAAGAACAAATTAAAAAGTTAAAATATATCAAAACTCATCCAAATCTTGAAGAAAAAATGAAACAAGATAAAACCGAAAAATATATTCGAGAAATAGGTAAATTTATAGAACAGTCAGATGAAGATGAAAATATTAAAAAACAAATGTGGTATTTTGTTTCAACGTATACAAACTTAACTCCCCATGAAGTTATTGAAATTGGCACTGAACAACATTACAGAAAACGAAATCAAACTAAAGGTGATTATTTAGACAAACGAGGATTGAATTAAAAATATGAGTAAAATAATTTAAAAATAAAATAATATTTTGCATAACATTTTTTATTTTTTAATAAAAAATAAAAAAAGTTAGGGTAAAAATAATTAAATTTGATTAATAGGAATGAGTGAACATAAAAGCCATTATAATCATGATAAAGACAAAATTTGCTTTTATTGTAGACAGCCTGGACATTGTCTAAAAAACTGTCCTAAAAAAGCAAAAGGAGAAGACTCAATTTGTTATAATTGTGGAAGTCATGATCACATTTTAAGAGATTGTCCTGAACCAAGAACAGGTAAATTAGCGTTTTCAACATGTTTTGTTTGTCATCAAATGGGACATATATCACGTGATTGTCCAAATAATCCAAAAGGAATTTATCCTCAAGGTGGAGGATGTAGATATTGTGGTGATGTAAATCACTTTGCAAAAGATTGTCCAAATAAAAGAAAAAAACAAACAGGAGATGATGATCAAGATGATTATGTTAGTAAAAGAGATATTGAAGAAAAAGGATTTAAAAGTGGAGATGGTGATGAAGAAAAACCTATCAAACCTACTAAATCAGAACAAGATGAAGTCCCAAAGAAAAAGAAGAAGGTAATTAAATTTTGATTGAATGTTTTATATCACCAAATATATGTTAATAGTG